TGGTGGGATGCTACAGCGGCTCGACAACCTCTTGTGCAAATACATCTTTTGGATTTGACCTCCAATAGAGTAAGTACCGCTCAAGATCTCACCCACCCTATGACCCCGTGGCATGCGGGGAGCAGGTATTCCCACTCCCCCCAAACTCGGTAGAGAAAAATCCACTCCCCTTACCGCTTGCCTTGCTTGGAAAACCAGGCGCTTTAGTGAGCAATTCTTTATCAATTCTCACAATTAATCCGGGTTGCGCAGAGGCCGGAAAACCGCGGCTTGGGAACCACATGCGGCTCTTTGGCCCCTTCAGTGTGGCTCTTCCACAAAATACCGACTTCTGCGCATGGGCCATGAAGTTTCAATACCGCACGTGGTATTTTGTGGAAGAGCCACACTGAAGGGGCCAAAGAGCCGCATGTGGCTCGCGAGCCGCGGTTTTGCCGACCACAGGTAGGGTGTAAGAATTCTTTAGATATTCTAAATACAAGTTCTTTATCAGACCCATGATTTATACAAACGCTCTTCCATTCAGTGGGTTGTCTTTTCTCTTTTGTGATCGTATAAGTTGCTGATTTGCTCTCCCCCCTCATTCTGCTGTAGAAATTGGTGTGTTAGCCAAGACTTTCATTGAACAAGGGAAGCTCATCCCAGATGATATCATGACTCGACTGGCCTTGCATGAGCTGAAAAACCTCACCCAGTATAACTGGCTCTTGGATGGTAAGTGACATGTCACTAGCATTTCAGCTGCCCAGAATGAGTGCGGGCAGCAGAACAAGCATTTCCTGGGCTGCAGAGACCTCATGGATGGTGGGCAGAGAGCCCGAGTTCTGCCACTGCTCACCCTGAGGCCTCGGCCTGTCGCCTTCTCTGGGCCTGCTTCTTCATCTGCATGGGAGGGCTGTGGACTGCATGATTCCTAAGGTCCCTTCAGATGTGACTTTAGTTCCTTCCCCCCTTTTAAGAATATTTTATGGGAAGGGAGGTTTACCACACAGGAAAGCTGGAGGGTAACTTAAAATCAGCTGTAAACGGGCAGAGGTGTGCCGAATGGGTTGATTTTTAGTTTCCGGGGAGGGAGAGAGAGAGAGAGAGAGAGACAGACAGAGAGACAGAGAGACATTAATTGTAAGCAATGGGCGCACATGATCACGGAGGCTGACAAGTCCCAGGATCTTCAGGGTAAGCTGGTAAGCTGGGGGTGCAGGAGCGCTTCCAGTCTGAAGGCCAGTAGGCTCGAGCCCCAGGAAGAGCTGTGTCAGTTTCAGTCTGAAGGCAGGAGAAAGCCCATGTCCCACCTCCTCTTTATTCAGGGGAGGGTCAGCCCTTTTGTTCTATTCAGACCTTCAGTGGATTAGATGAGGCCCACCCACATTAGGGAGAAAAATCTGCCCTACTCAGTCTACTGATTTACATGTTACTCTCATCCAAAACGCTCTCACAGACACACCCAAAATAATGTTTGAACAAATATCTGGGCACCCCGTGGCCCAATCAAGTCAACACATGTAATTATCACAGTTACCCTACAGCTGTGCTCCACTTGGCTGGTGTTACTGCTTCTGTTCAGATTGCTCAACATTTTTCATCAACATTTTTCATTCTCTTCCTTCTTCCCTCCCTTTCTTCTCTTGTGTGTGTGTGTGTGTGTGTGTGTAAAGGTTTCCCAAGGACTCTTCCTCAGGCAAAAGCCCTGGATAAAGTTTATAAAATAGACACCGTGATTAATCTGAAGGTGCCCTTTGAGGTCATTAAGCAGCGCCTCACAGCTCGCTGGATTCATCCGGCCAGCGGCCGAGTCTACAACATCGAATTCAACCCTCCCAAAGCTGTGGTGAGTAGTTGTGGTGGAACCGGCCTTCCCCATAGCAGTTCCCGAGGCCTCTTGCTCTCACAGGCAGAAGTTTTATGACCTTGGAAAAGCCTTCCTGCCCCAAACTCCTAAGGGTACAGTCTCAGGGTCTGGTGTGGACCTTGTCTGGTCCACTCAGGTTGATAGTAGAGGCGTCCCAGGAGTGACTGGGGTTTGTTAATCCCTCGAAAGCATTTATTGATTTTCTACTCTGTGTCAGGGGGTGTGTTAGGAGTTTGGGCAATAGGGATTAGCGACACCTTGGCTTATTTAGGTCAACATAAGAACGCCCAAACCTACACAGAATGTCTATAAAAATTTGAGCCAAACAGGATACGCCTGGAAACAAGATCCCAACAGACTGAGAAAAAATGCTCCCCAGAGTGGCAGTTGGCAGCAGCTTTCATGCATTTGGAATTAAGGAGGGAACATCAGGAAGATGACGAGAAGGTGGGGATTGGATTACAGGATAGTTAACAAGATTATATGTTCTCTTGAAGGTGGCTTCTGAGGGGTCTGAAGGAGTCATTTCAAAGGTGTGTCACCTAGATGCCCAGAAACAATGGACAGGGCTTACTTAAAGCTAAGATAACCCTTTTCCTAAAGAAGTTTTATGCCTGGGGCATGACTACCCACTATGACCTGCCCAGTTAGGAATTTATGACCAGGTCACCCTGTGAGGGTACTTTCTGTAAGACCCCTTTTTCGTCCACAACATGACATTATTTAGAGGCTGCTTAGAAAACCTTTTACTCTAAGGAGAAGGTGACTGCCGTGGCTCTGTGCTGCAGTGATCTGGGTTCGGATTTGATTCCGTTTGATTAAAAGTACATTTGTGTGCTTGGTGTTTGCACAGAGAAGAAATCTGTTAAAAAGTCCTGTGACTGCTTATAAAAAGGTTTGATACCGGCGTGTCCTGACTCCCATTTAGGGCATCGACGATCTGACTGGGGAGCCTCTCGTGCAGCGTGAGGACGATAAACCGGAGACCGTTGCCAAGAGACTGAAGGCTTACGAAGCTCAGACAGAGCCAGTCTTGGAATACTACCAGTGAGTCTGTCGCTGTTCAGAACTTCTCTTGCACGATCAGGCACTGAGGCAGTTTTCCATCGTCCATGCTTTACAGCTAAAATGTTAAAACATCAGAAGATCCAGTTCAAATTGAATCAGACCATAGAGGCAGTGCATTAGCGTGTGTAATAGAGAAGTCCAGATGGTAGGCTGGGCTTCCGTCACGCTTCAGTTTGATCAGTTTTGCCATTCTCTCAGCTTTGTATTGGCTTTGACAGTTGCCAGGAACAGCCCTTTCCTGAAGGGCTGAGGGGTCACCTTTCCCCCAGAGAACACAAGCCCCAAGTGTCATGCAGGCTGGACCCACTGAAACAGCCACTGTGGTCAGAGAATGCCCTGCACTCACTGCTGGTGGCCTAGGTTTCTGCCCATTCCTGAAGCAGTCACTGGGGTGGGAGTGATTGGTCCACACCTGGAGCTGCGAGTGGGTCAGTCTCACCCAGATTCTGCAGTCTGGTGGAGGGAGGGCTGGAATGAATGCTGGGGAAGCAACCCCGATAATATCCACTTCCTGTGCCTATAGGACAGAAGACTCAAATGGCAACCAATTCTCAGATCATTTATTTGGTTAATCATCTTTAAAAGCTTATATTTTAAAAAAATTTTAATATATGTTTATTGATTTCAGAGAGGAAGGGAGAGGGAGAGAGAGATAGATAGAAACATCAATGATAAGAGCGAATCATCGGTTGGCTGTCTCCTGCATGGCCCACACTGGGGATTGAGCCTGAAACCCAGGCATGTGCCCTGACCGGGAATCAAACCGTGACCCTTGTTTCATAGGTTGACGCTCAATCACTGAGCCACACCGGCCTGGCTAAAAGCTTATATTCTAACCTAGTTTTGTTTGCTCTTCAGAGACTTCCACAACAGAATATGGGATCTATACTAAATAATATTTGACACAGGCTAAGAAACAATCTAGTTTCCTTGCTCACCCATCCCCTCTCCTTTTATTCATTCACTTACTGAGTAATGACAGTTGTCAGGACAGAACAGTGTTGTGTTTAGGGCACAGACTCTGGAGCCAGACTAAGTTCAAATCCCAGCTCTTCACTTATTATCTTGGTCTTAACCTGTTTTCTCCTCTGCAAAATGGGGGTTAGAATAGAAGGCTGAAAGATTGAGTTCATATGTGTAACTCTTAGAATTATTTCTGACACATACTAAGCACTTCGTTGTTGTTGTAAGAGAGAAAGTATGCGGTGAAACTAAAATAATAGTCTGCACACTGTTTTAATAGCTATTTCTGGAGGTTAAAATTATAAGGGAGTTGGCGATCCACTTTCTACAGTAGCTGTTACTGTAATTTTGTGATTTGTGTAATGAGGCTGGCTCTGCAGATTGCCAGCACTAGGGCCCTGGGCAAGGGATTCAACCTCTATGCCACAAATTTTTCATTTGTAAAATCAGGGCAATATTAAATAGTACCTCCTCTGTAGGGTGATTAAGGGAATTAAGTGAGAGAATCCACCTAAGGACTTACGGCAGCCCTGGCACTATTAAATCACTCAGTGTTAGCCATTACTTACCCTGCCAAAACCCAAAAAACTCTCACCTTCTATCTGTGGGTGAGGCAGAGAGCTGGGTAAATGGTATTTATTATAAAATGTACTTATACCAATCAGGGACCTAATTCACACTAGTCTAAGCAAAAGGGAAATTTATTGGTCCTGTAACTAAAATGTCCAAAGTGAATGCTGAGTCCAGCTTGTTCAGTGTCCTCGGCCTTGTCACTTTCAGCTCCATTTTCCTGTGTTGGCCTCAATTTCAGGTGGGCTCTCCCTGTGTAAGTCCCTCAACTCCTGCTTACCACACTTAACCTCCTACCAGTTCAGCTACCCCAGCAGAAAAGAGAGCCTCTTGGACAACAGAAGTCCTAGAGTTGGCACTGATGAGATCATCATGTCCATCCTTGAAGCTGGGAAGTGGGGACAATCCCACTGGAATCTTGTGACCAGTTCCATAAGCCAGAGGACACAAGTGAAACCAAAACCCAGGTTTCCCAATGCCCAGCCAAATGCCTCTCTCTCTTGATCACACAAACCTACACTTATGGAGACCACATCCACATTATCATCCTATATAATAAAAGGCTAATATGCAAATTGTCCCTTCGACCGGGAGTTCAACCGGGGAATTTACCAGGGGGTGGGGCCAGTCGTCCAACCACCCACGGCCCCTCCCATGGCTGGCCCTTCTCACCCCAATTGGGGGTGGGGCTGGCCAGCCAACCTCCTGTGTCCCGGGGCCAATTAGGCTGGGCTGTCTGGACCCCACCTATGCACTAATTCCTGCACTGGGCCTCTAGTCTTTATTTTTTAAAAAAATATGTTTTATTGATTTTTACAGAGAGGAAGGGGAGAGATAGAGAGTTAGAAACATCGATGAGAGAGAAACATCGATCAGCTGCCTCCTGCACACCCCCCACTGGGGATGTGCCCACAACCAAGGTACATGCCCTTGACTGGAATCGAACCTGGGACCCTTCAGTCCACAGGCCGACACTCTATCCACTGAGCCAAACCAGTTAGGGCCCTCTAGTCTTTTAAGAATCACTTTGAAAGAGTTATGAGGAAGACTCAGACTTGTGTTTTTGGTTTTGTCACCTTTAGGAAAAAAGGAGTGTTGGAAACATTCTCCGGAACCGAAACCAACAAGATCTGGCCCGATGTATATGCCTTCCTACAAACAAAAGTGCCACAAATAAACCAGAAATCATCAGTTACTCCTTGAGGAAAAGCCGGTGTAACTAGTAAGATGAGCAGAAGCTCCTTATCTGTGCATTCAGAAGCTCCTTGTCCTAAGACTTGGACGTGTATGAATTCTTAAAAAATTATATTAGTTCATTTCTGCTGATTTTATTCTGGAAATTAAGATGTGCCAAATACTAAGATTTGTCTTTTGACATCATCTAGTATGTTTTATCCAGTTATCTTCTATGGTTGTACAATTCGAAAACATCAGAGATGTCTAACAGAACTTTTGAAAAGTCGTTTAGAGCATAATTAAAAGAGCAAGCGGTTGCACTCTAACGTTTGTTCAGAAGATTAAGTGGTTAATAAAGTTTCCTTATTTTTCTGGAAAAGTAAAGAAAAAAATTCCATGTCATTTGGAAAGTCATTTTGCTTAGAGTGATACCAAAAAAGCCATACCTAGCTCCGCAGGACACAGTGTTGTGGTACAGTGTGTCTATAAAATTCCAGAAAAAAAGCAACTGGATTTACAGACTAGTTGCAGGATGCAAATTCACTGTTGCCTCTACACGAAGAAATTTATAAGCTAGCCATATATGATGTATTTATTTTGTTGTTAAATGTACCTTCAAGTTACTCAGAATTTTCAATTTGGTATAAAAATGTATCAGTTAGCATATAGGGAAGTATTTATATTAGAAATTGACATAAGTCCTGCAAAAAGACTGGAGTTGACTTTTCAAAGGAAAATGTAAAGACCTATGTTTTCAGATGTTGTTACTTTGGTTAAGAGATGTGCTTTTGGATCTACTTGCCAGTTTCTCTTTTTAATCAAAATGTCTGATCTGCCTTGATGAGTAACATTCAAGTAGAAAAAAAAAAGAATTAAAAACACACACCCATGGCACTAGGTAAAGTAAGCATGCGCTGTCACTGGGAAACAGATCACGTTTGCCTGGGGAAAATTCCCTTGACAAATACAGCAATCTTAATTAACTGGTATGGCAATGAAAGGGAAGCCAGGACGAGGAAACTAACCGAGTTTGCTGAAGGAGTTTATTCCCAGCATTCACTGCTGTCCTATCTTAAGGGTAAAGAACTTTGCCGATGAGTGTAACCTAAGCAGCTGTTTTAAAAAATAAAAATGATTTGATTCCTTACTGGGGCAATAAGGATGCCTGCTTATGTACTGTGGTCTGGTAGGAGGAGTGGAGCAATACAAGAGGGGGAGAAACTCGACTATCTTCAGTGGCATATTTACTCTGACTTTGCTTGGTGCCAAATCAAATGAAACAAGTCCTTGTACAAGCTGTTATTAACAGAAAATATATTTTGTTTTATTCTAGGCACTTAAAATTCAAATGCCAATAAGTGGTTCTTATGTATTTTGTGGGGAGAAAAAACTTTTCCTTTCTTTTGATTTTTTAAAACTCAACTTGATCTTTCAAAATGGACCAAGGCTTTTAAAAAGGATTACAGTAAACAATCTGTTCTTTGTAAAACTTTCTATAATGTCTTATTTGAATGTTACTATTATGTGCTTTCTAAAAATGTTGTAAACTACTAAACTATGAATTATCACCAGGTTATCAGGCATACATTAGTATTAAGGCACAGAACACAGTCCCATTTTAGAAATGTGGGTACCACTCTGTCTTTGGTAGTTCACAGGGCCCACTCCTTCCCACCTTCCATTCTCATGCCTGATGACTCACTGGCTTCTGAATTAGTGAGTGGTTTCTAATAACTGTCTTAAAGCAATACACAGGCTGCTTTCATTTCATGTTATACTTTGCCTCATGCTATAAAGTACTGCAGTCATACTGGCCTTCTTGACACCCTTAGGAGATTTGGAATAAAAAACAGGCAGAAGAACATGGTTATGAAATAAAGGACTCTTCTTCCCTGTCAACATTCCCTCCTCCTTCCCAAAACACCAAACCCGAAGTTTTGCACATATAGCCGTTGCTTTATTTTATATAAAACACTTGCATTATTGTTTCTTTCTTTATTAAAGCAAACAAAAAGAACTTGTTTTATGCTGAGTTAATATCATAGACCAGCAATCTCCAACGGGTGGTCCCGGACCACTGGTGGTCAGTGAGGTCCGAAAGGTTGGCGACCACCGTCATGGACAATTTTGATGAAGATGATCATGGCTGAGGAGCGCATGCATAAAAAAAATTATGCTGTAATGACATTATGATTTATGTGCCATATGGAAATATTTGGAGCTGAATGCCCATGGCTAGAGGCTACTATGTCTTAAAGGATAATGAGAACAGTACTTAACCCCATTACCCTATTTTCTGGAGTACCATAGTTATTTTGGTGCAAAATATATAAGCAAAGTGTGTTGTGGGAAATGGACATTGGCAATTAATACCATCAGAAAATTTATTCCTCAATTCCATTTGAAATAGGTTAAATACTGGCTTAAATTCCTAAACCCCAGCCCATAGCTAACCTCCCCCCCCCCCGCCCCCACACACACACAGCTATTCATAACGGCATTCCAGCAAAGTATTTGAACTCATTGTGGCAAAATCTACCTATGTTAAAAACAAGTCATGCTAATTACAGACCTCAGATAAACTGTGTAATACTTGCAACTACTAGCAAGAATAAATTTGTATTTTTGAAACATTTTTTTATTGATTTCAGAGAGGGAGAGGGAGAGATAGAAACATCAATGATGAGAGAGAATCACCCATTGGCTGCCTCCTGCACACCCCCTTTTGGGACTCAAACCCATAACCTGGGCATGTACCCTGACCGGGAATTGAACTGTGACCTCCTGCTTCATAGGCTGACGCTCAACCACTGAACCACACCAGCTGGGCTAAATTTATATTTTAAAACATGTTTATAAGTTGTGTCTTCTCATTGACAAAAGAAAATATTCCCAGACACTAGTAAACTGCAGAAACAGCTTTCTTGTCTTCACAATCCAAGATTGTGATTTTGGAAGTTACAGTTTAAAAATATTTAAATTGGAGGAGAACCAAGATGGCGGCATAGGTAAACACCGGAGATTGCTGCCTCGCACAACCACTTCAAAAATACAACTAAAAGACGGAATGGACATCATCCAGAACCACAGGAAGGCTGGCTGAGTGGAAATTCTACAACTAGAAGGAAAGAGAAAAGCATACCGAGACTCAGAGGAGGTGCGGTGCGGAAGTAAATACAAAGGTGCGGAGGTGCATGTGGAGAGGGCTGGCGGCTGAGGACACGATTGTCTTTTTCAATCCGGAGGGAGTCTCAAGCTCTGAGCTCCAGTTCCGGGTGAGTCTCTGGGGACCCAGACTCATACAGGGAGAAACTGGACTGTCTGGCATCAGTCGAAACTCGAGGGCAGCTTTCTCTTGGAGGCGCTTGCAGCGATTGCCGGGACACTGAGGGCAGGACTGAGAGCAGCCATACTGCTCGCTCCGCCCGCCCTGTTGATCCCCTGGGACCCCACCCCGCCCAAGTCGTGCACGGAGGCTTTTGCATATGAAAGGCCTGGCCCTTTGTAATGTGAAAATTACTTAACAAACTGCAGCTGCCCCGAGGCCCCAGGGCAACTTGCATTGCTTTACAGCTGGCTTCTGCTGGGTAGCCTCAGGCAGAGGCTAGATTAGCACCTCCTTAGATCCAAGAGCCAGTGTACCCAGTGGTCAGAGTGGGACAATCCAATTACAACTCCTCAGATCCATAAGGGACACACTCAGGGGGCAGACTCAGTGAGCACCAAAGCCCCACTGAAGCAAGTCTTGCCCCATAAGGGTGTCTTCAGCACAGAAGTTCTCCCACCGTAGACAGCCGATTCTCACAGCCAATTGGCCTGGAGGTCAATTCCTCCCAGTGATACCTACAACAATCAAGGCTTAACTACAACAAGACTGTGCACAAAGCCCACAAGGGGGTGCAACAAGAGTGTCCACCTCAGGTAACTGGGGAGGCTGAGCCACTGGGCCCTAAAGGACACTTAGCACAGAAAGCCACTCTATCGACACAGCGAAGCATAAAAAATGCCGAGACAAAGAAACAGGACACAAATGACAGAAATGGAGGAAAGCAAACTACTAGATATAGAGTTCAAAACCACACTTTTAAGGTTTTTCAAGAATTTTCTAGAAACCGCCAATAAACTTAATGAGACCCTCAATAAATCTAGTGAGACCCTCGATGTTGTGATAAAGGACCAACTAGAAATTAAGCATACACTGACTGAAATAAAGAATATTATACAGACTCCCAACAGCAGACCAAAGGAGCGCAAGAATCAAGTCAAAGATTTGAAATACGAAGAAGCAAAAAACACCCAACCAGAAAAGCAAAATGAAAAAAGAATACAAAAATACGAAGATAGTGTAAGGAGCCTCTGGGACAGCTTCAAGCATACCAACATCCGAATTATAGGGGTGCCAGAAGAAGAGAGAGAGCAAGATATTGAAAACCTATTTGAAGAAATAATGACAGAAAACTTCCCCTACCTGGTGAAAGAAATAGACTTACAAGTCCAGGAAGCACAGAGAACCCCAAACAAAAGGAATCCAAAGAGGACCATACCAAGACACATCATAATTAAAATGCCAAGAGCAAAAGACAAAGAGAGAATCTTAAAAGCAGCAAGAGAAAGACAGTCAATTACCTACAAGGGAGTACCCATACGACTGTCAGCTGATTTCTCAACAGAAACTTTGCAGGCCAGAAGGGAATGGCAAGAAATATTCAAAGTGATGAATACCAAGAACCTACAACCAAGATTACTTTATCCAGCAAAGCTATCATTCAGAAGTGAAGGTCAGATAAAGAGCTTCACAGATAAGGAAAAGCTAAAGGGGTTCATCACCACTAAACCAGTATTATATGAAATGCTGAAAGGTATCTTTTAAGAAGAGGAAGAAGAAGAAAAAGGTAAAGATACAAATTATGAACAACAAATACACATCCATCAACAAGTGAATCTAAAAATCAAGTGAATAAATAATCTGATGATCAGAATGAACTGGTGATTATAACAGAATCAGGGGCATAGAAAGGGAGTGGACTGACTATTCTTGGGGGGGGAAAGGGGTGTGGGGGATGCGGGAAGAGACTGGACAAAAATCGTGCACCTATGAATGAGGACAGTGGGGGGGTGAGGGCGGAGGGTGGGAGGGGAACCAGGTGGAGGGGAGCTATGGGGGGTCAAGTGAATAAATAATACGATGATCAGAATGAACTGGTGATTATAACAGAATCAGGGGCATAGAAAGGGAGTGGACTGACTAATCTTGGGGGACAAAGGGGTGTGGGGGATGCGGGAAGAGACTGGACAAAAATCGTGCACCTGCAATAAAAAAATTAAAAAAAAAAAATCGTGCACCTATGAATGAGGACAGCGGGGGGGGGTGAGGGCGGAGGGTGGGAGGGGAACCGGGTGGAGGGGAGCTATGGGGGGGGAAAAAGAGGAACAATTGTAATAATCTGAACAATAAAGATTTAATTTAAAGATAAAAAATAAAAAAATAAAATAAAAATATTTAAATCCATTCAAAATAAAGTCTAGCTGTGCTTAAAGCTTTTGGAAAAGCTGATGTATTCTGTAGTGTTCATGACCTACTCAATCTGCCTTTTTTTTAAAGAAAGCTCACTAGGTCAGTATTGACTTGTGAACCAAGAGGTAACACACGATTCAATTCCCAGTCAGGGCACATGCCTGGGTTGCAGACTCCATCCCCAGTAGGGGGCGTGCAGGTCAATGATTCTCTCTCATTGTTGATGTTTCTATGTCTCCTTCTCCCTTCTTTTCTGAAATTAATAAAAATATATTTATATGTATAAAAAAAGCCCACTAAAGGTCAGATGTTTTTCTATATGTATACTAGAGGCCTGGTGCATGAAATCTGTATATGGGGGGAGGGTGTGTGTGTGTCCCTCAGCCCAGCCCGCACCCTCTCCAATCTGGGATCCCTCTCACAATCCAGGACTGCTGACTCCCAACCACTCTCCTGCCTGCCTGCCTGATTGCCCCTAACCACGTCTGCTTGCCAGCCTGATCACCCCCTAACCACTCCCCTGCAGGCCTGATTGCCCCTCATGCCCTCCCCTGCAGGCCTGGTCGCCCCTACTGCCCTCCCCTGCAGGCCTGGTCCCCCACAACTGCCCTCCCCTGTAGGCCTGGTCCCTCCCAACTGCCCTCCCTGCCGGCCATCTGTGTCTACATGGGGGCGGCCATCTTGTGTGTTGGAGTGATGGTCAATTTGCATATTACCGCTTTATTAGATAGGATATAGCATCGAGTAAAGTTAATCTGTCATGCCACGCTGTGCTTTGGAAGGATTTTAACAAAGTGTAAATCAATCTGGTGATGTGTCATATTTCACCAATGGACTCTAAATAAATATTTGAAGAGTAAATAGCATGAAGAACCATGCTGTTTAAAAAAACAAGAGAAAGATCTAGGAACCTTTATTTTCTTATTTAGAAAAGATCTAACTTCAAGTCTAATTACTTAAGACTTATGAGAATGGTTGTGGCAATTTTAATCAACTTTTATTCACCTTTATATCCTCCCATTAGCTTATGTAGCAAGCAAGCAAATACTTCTCAGACCTGTGAAACAGTACATACATGTACATTATAGATGGGAAATCGATGCATAGAACTGTTGGAACTTAATAAAACATGTATGATATAGAGGCAAAATTGAAATTAAAAAGCCCCTTCCCCTACCAAAAAAGAAAAAGCTTAGCCGAAACCCAGCCAAATATATTTCTATTCCACATCAATTTAAGAACTGAGATACATGACTGACTTTGAGAACAGTAAATTGACATCTTTTTTTTTTCTGAAAAAACTTCAGGATCACTTGGTCTAAACCTACAATCAACTTTTCATTCTGTAAGAAAATCTACTTACTAGATTCATGTTCTTTGGGCAGCATGTTAATTCACTTTTAAAAGAGCAATAGGAATGCTAATCTGAAAGATTTTCCTAAAGGTATAGATCAGGGGTTCTCAAACTTTTTAAACAGGGGGCCAGTTCACTGTCCCTCAGACCGTTGGAGGGCCGGACTATAGTTTAAAAAAAAACTATGAACAAATTCCTATGCACATATCTTATTTTGAAGTAAAAAAACAAAATGGGAACAAATACAATATTTGTATTTGCATGTGGCCCACGGGCCATAGTTTGAGGACCCCTGGTATAGATCATAAGCTCATTAGGCAAAACTTGAAAGAACCCACTAATGATATAATTGGATACTAATAGTATAATTGGATGAAAATGTTACCCATCTGTCTCTCCTAGAGAATAATTTTAAATCAGTATTATCTCCACTAATATTGTGGCAAAACTTACCTATGTTAAATGAGTTAACAGGGAATAAATGGAGTGATAGTTATTTTTTTTGAAATCTTTTATTAGAATATTAATTTTATCAAATGAAACAAGAATCCTTGATGGATATGTTTTTTTAAATATCTCTTTATTGATTTCAGAGCAGGAGGGAGGAGAGAAAGATAGAAATATCAACAATGAATCATTGATTGGCTGCCTTCAGCACGCCCCTAACTAGGGAATCGAGCCCACAACCCGGACATGTACCCTTGACCAGAATTGAACCTGAGACTCTACACTCTATCTGCTGAGCCAAATTGGCGAGGGCCTTGATGGATGTTTTGATGTCAAAGATGTTTCACTCATCTTTGTACTTTCCATGGTTTTTGTCAAGAGAAAACTGTCCAACCTGAAATACGCATTATCCCTTTGTCTACTATATTCTTACTCTATATTCTTACTATTTCTTAAGAAACAGAAAAGCCAACATTTTCTCTTAATAGGAGTTAGTTCTTAGTACTAAAGAAAAAAGAAAAGGATGTCAATTTACTGTTCAATATGTAAAGATTATAGTTTTTAAGTGCAAATCATGCCATCAGTCAGCAGCTCCTAAAATAAATTCAATCACACCTTCACACTCAAAACATAGAACACACTACCCTTTGAAAGTAAAAAATACAGCTTTTAAAAAGCTCTTCAATAATACCTGTTTTAGAAAAAAAAAACACCTTCAAGCATTGTTTCCTCAGTTCTTTGATAATATCTCTCCTTCCAGTCTAGTCATTACCTCGAACTTAAAAAAGGCAAAATGAAATTCAAAACAATTTGGATGCTTATAGGCAAGTGAAGGGGGAAAGTGAAGTTGAGGAACAGAGAGTAATGGTTCAAGTATCATTTCTGTGAAATTGGGATGTTACTCCTGTGTACATTATTCTCTATTTGATACGAAGGGAAGAATAAGAGGTTGCTCCAGAACAGGAAAATAATACAAAACAAAAAACTTCTGTAACTAGGACATTGGTAAAAAAAATTAAAAAAAAATGTACAGGCTGATGAATACTACCATATAAGTTAATCAAACATTTTATTATAGAGCATATCTTTATATCAAAAGCACAAAAGAGTTTTATTTGGAAAACCGGTAAGATTGTGATGTTACATAAGTATGATTCAATAATTCCAGTCCATTTCTATGGGTACTAAGTGCCTTATCACCCCAGTTAGTAAAAACAAGGTGCAAATGAGGCCATGGTTACAGGTCTGATCATCATATGGGTCCCTTAGCAATATTTGGTTTTACAAGTTGAGGCATGTATACCTAATCTCAGTCATCTTCCAAATGTTTGCTACTAGTCTCAATGGGATTGAACCAAAGACTATACCCAATACAAATCAAAGCTCATGTTCCTATAAGTCAGAAGATTAATCCTCACATAATGATAGCATAATTAGCACTATCATCTAATTCTAAATAAAATGAATCACCAAACATCCTCTCATATTTGAAGTGAATTATATTGGAAGTAGTAAAACTCAGCAGCATTCTATGGTAACTGAGCTAGAGAGAGAAATGACAAATGCAGTAAAAGCTATCATTATCCACAAGGAATACCAAATTTGTAGAAGTAAATAGTTGGCAGCTCGAGGCAGTTAGCTCTACAAGATTTCTCTTGCCTTTTAAAAAAGTCCTTGGCTACATCAGAGTGAAATGAACAATAAACCTAATTTTAAAAATCAGATTTTTCTTCCTGTTTGTTCTTACAGGCCATTAATATTCTTTTAAAACTTGCTCCCTGAGAGGTCCCAGACTATGTCAAGTAAAGAAATTAAGAGTGAGCTTGAAGTTGGTTTTATTAAAAAACAAAACAAAAAACCCCCTCTATATTAGCTTTTTCACTTTTTAAATCACTATATCCCTTACTATTAAAAAAGTCAACAGGGTAAAATCAACTTCTAAGGAATACAGTTTTGAGAATACTTAAGGGGTTAATTTATTGTCTATATAAATTTGGTATTAGGGTCAAGAATCTAACTGATGGTGCCCAAAGTACAACCGTATGATTATTATAAGGGAAAGACTGTTTTAATTTGTATCACCAAGCTTATTTAGTAAAGTAGATTATCAACTACTGATTTATTGCTTTTAATATGATAAAACACCAGATGTGACAGCTAAATTAGCAGTAGGATGCAAGGACATTTTTATCTTTAATCATTTTTGTAGAGTAGGGCATGTATACATCCATGTAAAAAGAGACTGTAGCAGATGCCTCCTAGAATCAACCAGTTCTTGTAAACATTGCATTTGTGCAGATTTTCATACTTTGATTCCAAAATTAAGAACAATAAGATTAAAGGCAAATTTAGTAGCAAAAAAACAAAGTCCAGTTTGACTTCTTGCAACATATGGTACCACTCCTCTCTTCAGAAAAAAGAACCAAAACAAAAAAATCTAGCAGCGCATAAAAAAATTTTACAAAACATTTCAGTACTCTTTTCCCCTCACATCAAAAACCGAACAAAAATAAAGTGCAGCACCCATAAAAGTGTCAAGAAAATAGCCAAGTTCTTCCTTTCTTGTAACAAAATAGTACTTGGCCTCAGCAGTCTTAACCAAATTATACAGTGTCCATCATTTTGGATTCATCATCTTCTTTATGTACCACTGAGTTTAAACTGCAGAGAGCTGTATTGATAGAATACTGAAGATAATCTGGATTCTGAAAAGAAAAGTATAGAGAAGAAACAATAGATGATAACTAGTTTATGCCAGTATATGCACATACATACTCAGCTACACATTCTGTTTTTCTCTGCAGTGTAGGAGAGTGGGCAAGAAGAAAGACTTTGAAGTCAACCCAAGATAAAGAGAAAGAAAGAAATAGACTATTACCACTTAATCCAAAGAGATGTGAAAGACAAAAAGATGTATATAAAAAATACAAATGTGAAAAATACTTTTTTTCTTTTAATAAAACTGTATAATTTTAATTATTTAATTATACAAGGCTACATCTTCCTTGTAATTATATGTAGCTATTGATAATTTAAAATATAAATGGCTTTAAATCAGAAATGTATTTTGAAGATTATTATCTAATTAGAATAGTAAAAATGCAACACTTGAATAAGGAAAAATGTATATACTGAGTAAAAATTATAGCTATCTTAAGAGTTTATTTTGGTTTCTCAAAGGTTAAAACAAACTGAAGTGAGAAATCTTAACTCTTTTGAGAGGTACTCAGACTCGTATTTTAAAAATTGTGTAAAAGAACAGTTTAATTTAGGTTTTAGTTATTTTTTAGACATAAGAACAACTCATAAATGTTCTATTTGTCCATTTCTAAAACTAGAAACAGAAAACCTTATTCAATGAATGCAAAAATAAAACGACTGAGTGTTAAAGCACAATGAATAGTGACATAAGCCCTTAAGACCTAGTTTAGATAATTCTTCCCCAAGAATTCGATTTTCTCTACTCAATTGTTCTGAATATCTGCCAGCAACTTAAAAGTTTTACTACCTATCACCTAGTTTCATTGATTTCATTTAATAAACACCAGTGAAGAAAATAGTCCAAATAGGGGATAGATGTCTCAAACCTCCCTATCCCATAGGGAGGCAGGTTTTCAAAAGATCCTCTAAGTAAAAATACAATACTTGGCCCTAGCTGGTTTGGCTCAGAGGATAGAGCATCAACCTACAGACTGAAGGGTCCGGGGTTCGATTCTGGTCAAGGGCACATGCCAGCCCTAACCGGTTTGGCTCAGTGGATAGAGCATCGGCCTGCAGACTGAAGGGTCCCAGGTTCGATTCCAGTCAAGGGCATATACCTTGGTTGCGGGCACATCCTCAGTAGGGAGGGTGCAGGAGGCAGCTGATCGATGGTTCTCTCTCATCAATGTTTCTAACTCTCTATCCCTCTCCCTTCCTCTCTGTAAAAAATCAATAAAATATATTTAAAAAAAAAAAAAGGGCACATGCCAGGGTTGCAGGCTCAATCCCCAGTAGGGGGCATGCAGGAGGCAACCTATCAATGATTCTCTCATCTTTGATGTTTCCAAATCTCTCTCCTCCCTTGCTCTTTGAAATCAATAAAAATACATGTTAAAAAAAAATACAATACTTTGTGATTTTTTTACTTTAAAAGTAAAAAAGCTAGCCATAAGTTGGATTATTCCCAATCAGGCCTTTATGAAGGAAGTGGCACTAATAACTGACTGAGGTGCGTAACACTAAACATTGAACCCCAGTCCTGCTTCTACCACTTAATGCAAACCTCAGAGAGAAAATAATTTATCACAACTTAATAGAATTAAAAGCTAGCATATAGGATAAGCCTAATAGTAACTATTACATATTTCTTTATCAAGAGGCCTTGTTTTAGTTTTCTCAAAAAAAAATATTTGGCTTATTTCTCAAGATTGTTATCAATCTAAAAAATGAAATTAGCCCTGGCCGGTTTGGCTCAGTGGATAGAGTGTCAGCCTGTGGCAGAAGGGTCCCAGGTTCGATTCCGGTCAAGGGTGCATGCCTGGGTTGCGGGCTAGGTCCCTGGTGGGGAGCATGCAGGAGGCAGCCGATCAATGACTCTCGTAATTGATGTTTCTAACTCTCTCTCCCTCTCCCTTCCTCTCTGAAAGCAATAAAAATATATTTAATTAAAAAAATTAAAAGCTAAAGTGTTACCCAAGTTTAAATTGTATAAAAATTGTTAATACTCGCATTACATTACTCACTCTCTACAGAAATAGAATGCTAAGATCCAATTCCAAAGTTCTTCAGAACAGAAGTCTCTTTTAAGACCAGGCTCCAGTTGTCCTTGAGAGTTGGCTAAGAAGTTTCTCCAGAACTCACCTAACCCATCTTCCTAAGAACTGTGCGACAGACTTAAATACTCCTAACCATAATCTATACTTAAATTCCACTGATTACCCCATATTCTCATCTAGTAACGTTCTCAACATATTTCTTGTCCCAATGACCAGTTCTTCCCATTTCTTGTCCTATTTCTTGTATATGATTCAACAACAATTATGGTATGGATGAATGAGCAGTGAAGTAGGATAGAAATCCAGGATTAGAATATTAGCTCTATCATTTATTGTATTGACTTCAGGCAAATTACTTAATTCTCCACAGTTTATTTATCCATAATATGAATGAAGAAGAATCATAGGGCTTTTGAGATCATTAAGTGATACAACATATAATAGTGTTTTGCAACCTATAAACTGATATAATAAAAATGGGGTGTTATTATGGTAAGCTTTTCTTCCAAATCTTCTCTCAGTCGACAACTTAGCCCCACAGGTTGCCTCTCATCATATTTCCCTCACCAGTTGACAGTCCTGTGCATCTAGCTGAAATCTTATCCAGCCCTTCTCTCCCTCAGAAGGAGTAAACTAGGATGCTCTTCTCCCAGCATGATGAATTAAATCTAAATAACCCTGGTAATGTCAGCAATTCAAAACTGTCAAAATTGTATAGGCCCAGGTCCTCGGTCAAAATTACTGCCAAGGGATACCTAGCAGCAGATCTTAGTTGCTATTTGGTACATAGAACAAGAGCTTACTTCTCTCAAACTGGAAGTAACTTTTGGATAATATAATATCTCATGATATTTTAACATGTATCTTTCCCTCTTATGTTAGAATCGATGATATCCTTCAAAAATTTTTTTTCTTTACATTCATTATGTGACTTCTTAATTTTAAGTTTCTACATTCAACTTGACAGTGACTTAGTCATAAAATGACCTTAGAAAGACTATTTCCCTGTGGGCTCAAGAAAATGAAGAGAAAATCATCACTATATTTACACAGCAATAAGAGATAACTCATGGGACAAATCAAGGGGGAATATTACTTGTTTAACTATGGGTAACATAACTAATTATTTAAAAGTCAGATTTTGATTATTTCCATCCTTCAGAATAACATTTTTGGCTGACCTAAATATGACCAATTGCTTTCCTAAATTGTCTCTTTGTTTTACAATACATGTGACAACTGAAATGGTAAAATTATAGAGACATAAGGTCAAGATATTGAAAATCTCAATTCCTGCTTTATGAAATTTAAAAATAAACACAGGGCTCTCCTCACATTGTCTTCTGAATGAGAATTTCCTTTTCACTGTGTAGGCAACAGACTAAACTTTAAGCTAAAGCTGGTCTTAAAATCTTGGGACCTGGAAATGAAAGATTACTGGGCTCAATTAAAATCCTACTAAAGTCAAAATGGGCATCAACTTTCTAATGATAATTTAAAATCACAATCCTAGGCAGATAGGGAGTCTAACCTCCTCTTCTTTTTGACATAAATGTTAGTGACATGGTTGATCTAACAGCCAACTTCAAAGTAGCTCAAATAGGTGGCCTATATTATCAGAAAGAACAGCTTAGCATAAGCTATGTTATTGTGGATTAAAAATGTTACACCTGGTAGGCAACATCAACAATTAGCAATACTAAATAAACTCATGTAACAGATCACCTTGGTTGCCAACTGGATGTATGCTTTGAAGCTAATTCACTTTAATAAATTCTTAAACAGTATAGATCTACTCAGAAAAAAATGTTTCTCAGAGCTATCTTGAGAAGTTTATGATTGAAATGATAAATAGCTAACACTTGCCCTTAGAATGATCAATAGCTAACACTTGCCCTTAAGTTGTGCTTAGGTACAACTCATCTCTTCTATTTTAAAAGAGTAGAATTTGGTGTCTCTTTAAATACCGAAGAAATGGAAGAGATTTAGTGCCAAAACATGGCATGAAATGAAACTCCGTGTTCTCTTCTGAGGTAAGAATATTTAGAATGGTCACACCTAGCCTGGCCTGCGTGGCTTAATGGTTGAGTGGCAACTTATGAACCAGGAGGTCACAGATTGATTCCCGATCAGGGCACATGCCTAGGTTGTGGGCTCAATCCCCAGTAGGAGGTGTGCAGGAGGCAGCTGATCAATGATTCTCTCTCATCATTGATGTTTTTATCTCTCTCTTCCGCTCTGAAATCAATAAAAAACCATATTTTAAAAAATGGCCACACCTATATTACATATAAGAAGAAAGAATAGTCTAAAAGAACAAAAATTATGTGAACTATACATTTATAAGTAAACATTTGCTTTTCCAACTTACCTGTGGTAAGGATTCTAATAACTCTATAGATCCAACACCAGAATGGAGAACATGATTCTGAACTGTCATAGGTTGAAAACTTGGTGATTGAGAATAAAGTCTCACTCTTGATTTGAAAGCTTCAAGTTCGTTTTTGAATGCTTCAAAATAACCTTCTTCCTCTGCCTAGAAAACACAATATAAAGACTGTTTTTGAAGACTTCTAGACCACACAGTAAATTCTAACAAGCATCTATTAGGTCTGGAATACAGGAAGTAAAGATGAGGTGAATAGTTTAAAAGTAGAAACCACCAAGTTCCCTGTTAGATTTGTGAAAACTTACCGTTTTATAAAACAGACTAATAAACGATCCCTCTTCAAACATACACAAATATAACAAAAGAAAGTAGGCTTTTTTTTCTGTTTTTCCCTTGATTTATCTGAATTCTTGACAGGATTCAAAATAGTCCTAATTTATTCTCTCACATTCTTCTCTCCTCTTCCCATTGCCAAGCAACAATCAAGGAATACTCTTAAAAACCTTATAATTCTCCACCAAATAATAAGGGGACACTATTACCTGTTTCTAGTGATTCTCTGATTCTATACTCCTTATCTGTAAAAGTCATGAAAACCAAGTAAGACTCAACACACAATTTCATTATGGAAATATTTTAGTGTTTTAGTTAAGCAAGTACCTTTTTTCTGACATTACAGAAAAAGTACAATGAGTTTAATGAGGTATAATATAAGCAAAATTCCCAATACAAAATATCCTGTTGGAAATAGCCTCCATTTATAAATGTTTCCAATGCAGATCAAGAATTACACAGTGCCGATTCTACACTAACAGAACACAGGCTTTAAGTTTAAGTGGTGGAAGAGATTTTGTCAGTCTCATTCCTTAGTATCACTGGGCCCGTTTGTCTGCAATGCTATCTTTAAAAATATGTTTTTATTCAGAGAGAGAGAGGAAGGGAGACAGATAGAGAGATAGAAACATCACATCAATTGGCTGCCTCCGGCACACACCCCTACTGGGGATTGAGCCCACAACCCGGATATATGCCCTGACCAGGAATCGAACCAGCAACCTCTTAGTTCCTGGATCGATGCTCAACCACTGAGCCACACCAGCAGGTTAATGCTATATTTTTTTAAATGTAGTTTACGTTGTGTAACTAGATTAAAACCTGTGGATTAGTTATTAACATCAATATCTATACAGATAATGCAGAAAATGTTCTATGCTGCCATTCTATCTTTTTACAAATTTAGAATTATTTAAGTATATTATAGCATTTCACTTTGGCCAATATATGGTACTTGTGTGGACATATGGAATGTTAATCTTTATATCCCCAAAATAATCTTTCTGAAATTGTTATGCAATAAACTATTAAAGGAATCAAGTAACACAATTGCTGGTCTTCCTGCATGCCTAAGACCTAGGGATTTAAATCTAGAGAGATTTGACTGATTTTTATTAAAGTAACCTATAGGTCACTTACTTAATTCTTCTATGCTAATTTCCTCACTTGTAAAAGAGAATAAGCCTCATAAAATGTTATGAGGATTTAAGAAGTTAATCCATGAAAAGTGCTTATAATAGTACCTGGCACAAAGTAAGCACCCATGAAAGTTATTCTTTAATTTAAAAAATTATTATAAACAGTGTTAAGATCTAAAGACTTCAGTGTCTTTCAGTTCAATTCTGTCAAAGTAAATTTCAAAGAATATACATAGTGTGGCTATGTTCCATTATCCTATTAAGCACAAGTTCAAACATAGCCATTAATGTAAGATAAAAAAGAAAAAAAAATTTTTTTGATGCCTATGTGATAAGTGAAATTTTAGAATAGTCATTAGAAACCTAGCTAAAATACCAACTCAATCATTTACTCATTAAAACTCTACTATTTTGGGAAAATTTCCCATTTAGGTTACACTTTAGAAGAGTTTAGAACATTTAAGGGAGGACTACCACCATCTTAATATATTCTTTTTAATTTAAAATACAATGGCATCTCCAATTTATAAAAGGAAATATGTTCATTAAAAAAATCATTTATAATTCCACCACCCACGTATAATCAAAGTTAAACTTTTGGTATATTTCCTTCTAACTTCTAATTAGTATACTAAATGTGCCATGTGTGCAAGAGCACGTTAAAATGTATGTATAGTTTATTGGGCAAAACCCACTATATACCTAACACAAATTAGGAAATAGATCATTGCTATTTAGTACCTTAAAATCAGTTCCCAAAAGCATTCCCACTCTCTCTCTCTGAGGTTACCATTATTGTGATTTGTCTTCATTACTCCTATACCTCTTTAGTTTTACTGCTTATCTATGTGTACCGTAACAATATATTGTTTAGTTCTGCTTGTTTTTGAACTAGATATATCATCATTCTGTAGCCTGTTTTCACTTTCTTGCTTTTTATTCGCACTGATGCTGGTTCATTCTATGTTAACAGACATCTGGGTTGTTCCCAGGCTTTTTGCTGTTATGAACAATTCTGCTATAAACAATTCTGCTAGTGCACATCTATTCAAGTTTCTCTAAGGCAACAATTGTCAAATTTTATGGTCTCAGGACTTTACACTCTTGAAAATTATCGAGGAACCTAAAGAGCTCCTGTTTATGTGAGCTAATTCTATTAATATTTACTATGTTAGAAATTAAAAGTGAAGAATTTAAAAAATATTAACTAAAACATAACAATAACAAACTTATTACATGTTAACCTTTATTTTTTTTTTAAACTGCCCTGGCCTGGTTGCTCAGTGGTTAGAGCATCAGCCTGTGGACCTAAGGGTTGAGGGTTCGATTCCCAGTCAAGGGCATATACTTCAGTTACAGGTTCCCCGATGGGTCTTTCTCACATCAAAGTTTGTCTCTCTCTCTCTCTCCCCTTCCTCCCTCCCTTTCTTTCTTTAAAAAAAAATATATTTTTATTGATTTCAGAAAGGAAAGGAGAAGGAGAGAGAGATAGAAACATCAATGATGAGAGAGAATCATCGATCAGCTGCCTCCTGCATGCCCCCTACTGGGGATCGCCTCCTGCACGCCTCCTACTGGAGCCTGCAACCCAGGCATGTGCCCTTGACCGGAATCAAACCTGGGACCCTTCAGTCCACAGGCCAAGGCTCTATAGACCACCGAGCCAAACCAGCTAGGGCACCTCTCTCCCTTTTATCTCTCTCTCCTTCCTAACTTCCTCTCTCTAAAAATCAATGAAAAAAATATCTGCGGGTGAGGATTAAAAACAAAACAAAACAATTTCCAAAACAAACAAAAAAAATTAGAAGTCTGGCTTAACAGAAGATAGCTAGATTCCCACATCTGCTTCTGAATCAATCTCTACTGCACTCATGAGAGTGAAAATGGCAAATAACATCTTAGTATTAATATTATAACGACAGTTTTTACCCTGGGCCTCCTGGAAGCCTATTACTACTAAAAACCCATGAGTGTCCCTGGACTACATGTTGAGAAATCTGTTCTCTAGGATATATACCTAGGAGAATTTCTGGGCAAGAGTATTTGTTCAACTTTACAAGGAAAAGTTCCAAGGTGGTTGTAGCAATTTATATTCTCACAGGCAGTGAATGCAAATTCTTATTGGTCTATTTCTTGTACAATTTGCTAATTTACTAATCTAGTGAGTGTGAAATGATACTTAATCTTTCTAGACATATCTATTTTTCTTTAACATGGCCAACATAAATATGTATCACTTCTTTTGACTTTATAGCAAAGCATTATCTCAGATTAAAAATTCTTCAAAATATAATTTTAGTGGCTGCCTAATATTCTATGTACCAGTTTGTTTGTTTTTAGCCATTCCTCTTTGTTGCATTTTTTAAGTTGTTTCCTATTTTTTCATTACAAAAGTCTGACATCTCATTAAACTTTAAGTTCTAAACATGGACTTATCTGTATCTATTTCATTCTACACTGTATCTTTAGCCTCTTAAACAGCTATGCTTTTGCATTAATACTCAATATTTACTGAATGAATATTCTAATTTTCCTGAATACATACACGTGTAAAATTAGCATAAAATCAGCAATATAATTTTTTTCCCACTATAAAATCTACAGAATTTAGCCTGTGGCATCCTGGCTGAATGGCTTCCTTTTATGTATATCGATCAAAGAGGTCTCAGTTAAGGCCTAACATTCCCATTTGTAATACCAAATAGCTACTTACTTTGGCTTTCTGGAAAAATAAACGAAAACACCCTCTTGGATCCACATTACAGTTTTTGGCCATTTCCATAATAAATTGCATTACAACAGCTTGATGTGCTATTTGTTCCATTAGAGCCCCTTTCTGAAAATAAATAGATTAAAATGATAAGAAATACCTCTGGAAATATATTTTAAAAGGTTTACAGTATATGGGAACAAGAGAGATGGGGGCACAGGGGAGGCACACTAGAAAAAGATTTCCAGGTGCTAACTGAAATAACTAAAAAAAATAATCCCACAGTAATTCAAGTAGATCTGAAAGCAAAAACAAAAAGCGTAATTCTATTTAATGACCCTCTTATTTTAAAGTAATATTAAAGTACATCAGAATTCCCCTAAGATTCCCAGAAATTCAAAGTTCACGATACCTGTTCAGCTTCTAAATGAAAACACCATAAAATAAGATATTTAGCAGTTTCTTCACATACAAGATATGGATGGTCAGATAAAAATCTCTGACTATCATCCCATCGACTCAACATACCTGTAAAAAAAGAATTAAACCATGAATATCAAATACTTCCTTCTTATAAGTGAAGCAATGGTATTTTAAAATGATTATCTTTAAGGACAATTCATATTACCACAGCAATATGTTATATAAAAGAGCAAATGAAGAGGGATAAAAAGCAATATGCAGTATATTGGAAATAGCTTCCAAAATTCACAGAAAGGTGTTTTTGTTTGTTTGTTTGTTTTGTTTTTTCCCCCAGATAATTAGTCAGACTTAAGCTGAGTGATTGATTTAAAGCCAAAACTCCTATATCTGGGGTATGCCCGAAGTCCAGGGCAAAGTGAGATGGCTGGTCATCTAGTTAAAAAAAAGATGATTTTAGGAGACTCAACATTATTTAGTCACAGAATGTCATTTTTTCTATTGGAAAGATGAAAAAGACAGCAAAACCTCAAGAAACTACACTTAGCGAACAAAGAATTAGTAGAAGATTCAGAAAAGCTACATTCTAATTAAAAAATGTCTAAGACGATATGGTAAAATGTTGACAGCATGGGAAACTAATCCAGTCAGTTTTATAAAAACAATATACTTTAGCCTGGCTCAGGTGGCTATAGAACAGCCGTGGGCAAACTATGGCCCGCGGGCCGGATCTGGCCCGTTTGAAATGAATAAAACTAAAAAAAAAAAAAAAAAAGACCGTACCCTTTTATGTAATGATGTTTACTTTGAATTTATATTAGTTCACACAAACACTCCATCCATGCTTTTGTTCCGGCCCTCCGGTCCAGTTTAAGAACCCATTGTGGCCCTCGAGTCAAAAAGTTTGCCCACCCCTGCTATAGACCCACGAACCAAGAGGTCACCAGTTTGATTTCTGGTCAGAGCTTGATCCCCAGTAGGGGGCGTGCAAGGAGACAACTGATGAATGTTTCTCTCATTAATGTTCATATCCGTCTACCCCTCTCCCTTCCCTTCTCTTTAAAATCAATAAAAACATATTAAAAAACAAACAAACAATATACTTTAACTATTTTAATCATGTTAACCATTTAGTCATTCTGTTTGTATACACAGAAAACAAAAATATTTTAAAAATTAGTTAAGCATATTTGCAAATGGCTGCCACTTTGCTTCAAATATCAAACTAAAGTTCTAAACCAAATACTACTTAAGGTGCAACTTCATCTTTATTCAAATTAATAAGAAATTTAGTCAAAAAGTCAGTATCACCCAAGTGATCATGGAACCAGTAAAGTGTTAAGTTTTTATTTAACTCTGTCCAGTCAGCTTTATATTTGAATAAATTAAGTATAACATAGTTATCCTTAGTGCTTTAGACTCATCCAAGGAAGTCTGGATGTTACTGAATCATCATGAAAATTTTATAAAGCTGTCTTAATAGTTTGGCAGTAAATCTTTCCTCTAGACCAGTGGTTCTCAACCTTCTAATGCCGCGACCTTTTAATACAGTTCCTCATGTTGTGGTGACCCCCAACCATAAAATTATTTTCATTGCTACTTCATAACTGTAATTTTGCTACTGTTATGAATCTTAATGTAAATATCTGATATGCAGGATGTATTTTCATTGTTACACATTGAACATAAAGCATAGTGATTAATCACAAAAACAATATGTAATTATATATGTGTTTTCCGATGGTCTTAGGCAACACCTGTGAAAGGGTCGTTCGACCCCCAAAGGGGTTTCGACCCACAGGTTGAGAACTGCTGTTCTAGACACAAAATGAACTTCCATATATTAAAGTTCCACATTAGAACACAAGGAAGAACAAAACTGAAGACCTATGTCTTACTGAGAAATACACCTTTAGTAACATGGGAATCAATTGAAAATAAGTGATTAATTATTAATTGAAAATAAGTGATTTGTCCTCATTTAAAAAACACAGGGAAAAAGCATTTTAGCATTTTCTTATAAAGAGTTTTACAAGCTTTATCAAGTTATTTACCCAACATTCTGGATACAGTGATTAGGTCATTTTAAATTCTGAGAAGCAGAATGACCATAGAAGTTGTTTGAAACTACTTCTCAAACTGTAATTAAAGATCTTAATAACTTTTGAGGATCATATCTAAAGGAAGCATAATCCTTATTGCTTATACCTGAAGTCATAAAATAAATCCTATAAAGCAGTTTTAGCTCTGTGACATTTCTGAAGAGGCAATATTTTCAACTCTATCTACTATCCATAGAGAGAGCATTGTTCTCCTGTTTACTTCTCCATGGCAGCATAATGACTCACTGAAGCACCAAAATCCTATCCATTTTGGTTTCTTTTGCGGGCAAGATAATATGAAAGGGTTAGTGACACTTGTAGGGGCCATGAAGAAGGGTACCATTAAATGTTAAAACAATAATTTTAATGTTATTTTCTTTTTTTAAAAATTTTTATTGTTGAAAGTATTACATAGGTCCTTCTTCCTCCCCCATTAACCTCTTCCAACCCACTCCCATCCCCCTCAAGGCCCTCACCACCCCACTGTCTGTGTCCATAGGTTATGTATACTGTATATGCATAGAAGTTCATTGGTTGATCTCTTTCCACCCATACTCCCAAGACAAAATTAACCCTTGAAGTTGACCACAGCTTTTCTTCATCTTAGAAATACTTGCCATGACTTGATTTAAAAAATGTATACCCAGCCCTGCCAGCGTGGCTCAGTGGTTGAATGTCAACCTAAGAACCTGGAAGTCATGGTTTGATTCCCGGTCAGGGCACATGCCTGAGTTGCCGCTCGATCCCCCGTGTGGGGTGTGCAGGAGGCAGCCAATCAATGATTCTCTCTCATCATTGATTTTTCTATCTCTCCCTCTCCCTTCCTCTCTGAAATCAATAAAAATATATATTAAAAAAAAAAAAAGTATACCCAGCCCTAGCTGGTTTGGCTCAGTGAATAGAGTGTCGGCCCACGTACTGAAGGGTCCTGGGTTAGATTCCGGTCAAGGGTATGTACCTTGGCCGCAGGTTCCCTGGTCCTGGTTGGGGTGTGTGCAAGAGGCAACCAATCAATGTGTCTTTCTCATATTGATGTTTCTCTCTGTCTCTCCCTCTCCCTTCCACTCTCTCTAAAAATCAATGGAAAAATATCCTCGGGTGAGGATTAACAACAAAAAGTACACCCAATTATTACAAAATTGATAAGTTAGGTTATAGGTACTCCATATAGACCTTTGTGGGGAGAGTGTGGAATCTTGAACAAATATATCAATAGAATCAATGCCTTAGTGGAACAGAACATACCTGAAAGTGCTAATATTATTTTGGAATTTATAAACAAATGGAGAGTAACACAATCTAGCATGATAGCTAAGAAAACAGAATCTAAGGCTAACCTGCTTTGGTTCAAATACTGGCCATTTACTACACCTTGAACAAGTTCCTTTATACCTCTATGCCTCCATTTTCTCTTATGTAAAACTAGAGGCCCAGTGGCGATAACGCGCAGCCCCGTCCACCTTGCTGCGATTGGAGCCTGTGGGCCAAAGGGGGGGGGGGGCGGCGTGAGGTGCTCCATGCACCTCATGGTGACCGGTTGTTTGGTCGTTTTGGTTGTGACGCCTCTTGGCCTTTTATTATTATGATAGGGCTAAAAATAGTAACTTACCGGATTTTTTTGCGGATTAATCAATACATATTAGAGCACTTAAAACAGTGTCTGACAGAGTAAACACTGATAATATTCACACAATATGAACAATTCATTCATTTATCAAATAGTAAACTAATCCTTTGGTTAAGGATAACCTAGTCATTTAAACTAGCCAACCAACTTATCTAGATACCTGAAAAACCTTAGGGAAATTAAAATAGTTTAAAATAATTTCACCTTTAAATTTTCCTGGTAAACATCTAAATCCCAATCCATCCATCAGCTTTTAATATTCTGATTCTTAACACAGTCCCTCAAATATATAATCTTGATAATTTCCGTTTCCTTTTTACATTATACTCATAATAAAAATTTTAATCCTTCAAATTATACTTATTATCTTAATTTCTCTATGTGCTAAAATCTCCCAACTAGGTTGTGAATTTCTTAATGAAAGATATATGACCTTTTTTTCTATACTTCCTGAGCCACAGGTCTCCTTTATTCCCAATCACCTACCACCAGACAATTATGTCTACCTACATGCCTGCACATAAACTCATTTTATTTGAAACCAAACCCATTAGTTTTTCCCTACCATCTACAGTGCTTCCTAGGCTCCATTACCCAATTAAACATTCTAGAAATTTCTCTGACATTTCTATTCTTCCTATAACAAATTGTTCACTAAATCTTGTGGTTATACTATTATAGTCTGTTAATACAGTGAATCATATTAATGAGTTTTCTAATGTTAAACCATCCTTGATTTCTTACTATAAACCCTTCTAAATATTTCTTTTTCAGATTATATAAAGTATATTTATTATGAAGAATTTGAAAAATCCAGGAGATAAACATTATCTGCAATTCTCTAAGCAATAATTAATGTTAACATTTTTATGTATTTCCTTCTGGGCTTATTTTTTAACTAGAGGCCTGGTACACAGATTCGTGCACTGGTGGGGTCCCTCAGCCTGGCCTGTGGACAATCCCCCAAGGGGTCCCGAATTGCAAGAGGGTGCAGGCCAGGCTGAGGGACCCCACCGGTGCATGATTGGGACCGGGGAGGGACTGTGGGAGGGCTCCAGGGTGTGTCCGGCCCATCTCGCCCAGTCCCAATTGGCTGGACCCCAGCAGCAAGCTAACCTACTGGTCGGAGTGTCTGGCCCCTGGTGGTCAGTGCACGTCATAGTGATTGGTCGAACAAATGGTTGGACACTTCGCATATTAGGCTTTTATTATATAGGATGACTTTCAAAGAAACAAAATTAGAATTATATCCTCCATATTTATTTTCTACTCATTTCACTTCACATTGTATACAAGAGTACTTTATATTAAATATTTTTCAAAAATAGGATACTGACATGCTTGAAAGCGATAGCTAACTGATTTCATTGAACAGACTGTGACTATCCACCTTCGGTGTCACTGAAAAAGATCTCATCATAGTATTTATGCAAATGTTTACAGCTTTTTTCTTTTCTTTTTTACAGCTTTTGATAAAATTCCCAATAACAACATCCTACATAGATTCAAAAATTGCTGAATCACAGCTAAATTTGGCTGGAAGTCAACAGATGAGCCATTGAAAACTGTGTTAGATCATCAAAAAGCAGTTCTGCTGATCATAAAGACAGTAATGTCAAAGATTCATATGACTTTGAATGAAATTTTGTAAAATTTTAAAGAAAATAGATTTTGTTTCTAAATTGATATTTTATATTTATAAAGCATGGATTACTAAATTAAGTACAAATGCAGGAGGAAAATAATCAAGATTTCAGTGCCTCACAGTACTCCATAATATGGTTGTACTATTTATCATCAGATGGCAAATTCCATCTAGTTATAATGTTAAACGCAACATAAGAGAGATAGTCAACAAATACTATTAGGGAAAGTTAGGACAAATGTTTTAATTGCACATGAGACCACAGAGAAGAACTGGTGTGGAAGCCTTTGTAGCCCTTTATAGCGGCCCATGTCTTCCAAAAGTTTGGAATGCAATGCAAGTTTGGAAAACCTCCAGTTGGAAGCTTTAATCACAATTGCTATTCCAGATGTGTTTACTTCAAAGAAGTATATCAATATCATTATTCTGACAAATTTTTTTCCTTTACCACATTAAGCAACCACCACCAGAAACATTTGCTTCCACCAGCAAAGAGAGCATTAAACTTTCATTGTCTTGCCTCAGGTCTCTATCAACTCTGTGCTACAATTTAGTTCACAGGGACTTTGTTATCTCATCATTCCACATAACTGTAAATTGGTCTACTTCACACTGATGGAACTTGGTGAGTGGAAGTAGCAGGTATCCCAGATGTCTTGGTAAGATATAAACATGCCAGAAAGCTGGAAATAAAACACAGGAAATTTGGGGGAGCCTACAATCTTAGTACATTTCTGGAGGATCCAATGGGCTATAGCAAGCAGGCTATCTCCTCCAACGTGAAAAGTCAATGCGCATTTCCACTAAAAAACAGGCACAATGTGAATCCGTGAGTGGCTATAAAGTCTGATTGGCTTTGAAGACAGTATGGCTCTGGTTAGTATTATAGGATGAGACACTGGAAGCCCACACATACAATGGCAAAACAACTGTTTATTAATCATTTGTGAATGTTATGACAACCATTATCCTCAGTCATCTCATTGCTTACACAGTATTTTATAAACTAAGGGGTCATGATGGCAGATGAGATTATGCAGAGATTCAACAGCCTGGGATCTCCCCATCAATATTCCAGGATAGCCAATGAACACCTAATTTGCCAGTAGCAGAAATCAGTGAATCTCGGAGGAACCATTGGTCCCTCACTTCAACAAGGCCATTCCAGATCTGGTATTGCCTTCTCTCCTTGCCATTCTTCTATCAGTAATACATCTGTGGTCTTACTAAATGACTTATATCCCCTACCACATTACTTACTGACCCAGTGAAAAATGAAAGCAATGGGCTTGTGAAATTCACTGGTATTAGGAACACACTATCAAGAAACACCAGGTTTATTGAATGTGAAATGTTTTACTGAAGACACATACAGTTATAGTGCCAGGTGGGTTATTACACCTTGTAAGGTTGAGATATTTTCCCACATAATATTGCTTCTGACCAAGTTTACAGCAAAAGTGAGGGAACTGTTTCACACTGGCTGGTTTTACATGGCTCCAAAGCAACTCGCCTATAATATGTCAGCTGGTGACACCTGAGGGATGCTATTCTACCAGCTGCAGCCATGCTCTGAAAGAGCAAGTGATATACGGTACTGTTTCCTACAGCAGAATACATAGGCCTAGGAAGAGAACTGGAGGTGAGAGTGACAACTCACATTATCACAACTAAGACTTACAAAAATTTTGCTTTTTATCCCTATGACTTGGGCTCTACTCATTTAAAAATTTTAATATCTAACCAAGCGAGGGCTGTTTATCCTTTTCTTTCTATTATAAATGATGCCAGAATAATAACATATATAACAATAAACTTCACTTTTTCAGATACTATGTTGGAATTAAACAGAATACACAGCTTATATTTTTAAATAAAAAGTATGAGGAAATGGGTATTTTATGAATAAACTGCATAAAAAGAAGGAAAAAATCTAAAGTATCTATTGTCATGACATAGTTGAGGACGAATGAAATTCTAAATACTTTTGGGGGAAGGAACACCAATAGGAAAGAGATCTCAAAATGCCATTTAAAAATCTTATTAATATACTACAAATAAAAAGTATGTTTACTAAATGAACATATTACTTGGGATAAAAAAACATGACTTGAAGCTTAACTCCTAACACTTCCGAGTGGCATTTTTACTTCAGCAGTATCACACTGCTTATAAATTTTACAACACAACATGCTGCTTCCCAACTGTGTCTTTGCATGTGCTGTTGCTTTGCTTCCTTATCTATATGGATAACTCCTACGTGTTCCTCATAATCCAGTTCAGCTGTTACCTCCTCTGGGAAGCCTTCACTTACATTAATCCCTATCTTAACACCTTTCCCCTACAAAGAAAACTATTTTTCAGTTCTTTGTATACATATTTCTATTACTATATTTATCTGAATAACAATTCAAGGACCTGCTTGAATTATATAATATCTAAAACCTAGAGGGGTGGGGGGATAAAAGCTAGTCCTATAACCAGATACCAAGGAAGCAAAGAGGAAAAAGATAAAGCAAAGACTAGCTGGGGAATGGAAAGAGGATGTGGGGTAAATAAAGACTGTATAGTATAGGGTAGTATCTATACTAATAGAAGAGTATTATGCTAACTAGACCAGGAGACCTTCCAGAGATCTTCTGGACGTCCTTCAAGACAAAGCCATGGTGGCGGGGCAGAGGCAGTTAGGGGTGATCAGGCCAGCAGGGGAGAACAGTTGGGGGCGAGCAGGCCATCAGGGGAGAGCAGTTAGGGGGATCAGGCCGGCAGGGGGGGCAGTTGGGGGCGATCAGGCTGGCAGGGGAGGGCAGTTGGGAGCGATCAGGCTGGCAGGGGAGGGCAGTTGGGAGCGATCAGGTCAGCAGGCAAAGGTGGTTAGAGGTGATCAGGCAGGCAGAGTGGTTAGGGGCAATCAGGCAGGCAGGCAAGCGGTTAGGAGCCAGTGGTCCTGGATTGTGAGAGGGATGTCCAACTGCGGGATTAGGCCTAAATCGGCAGTCGGACATTCCCCGAGGGGTCCCAGATTGGAGAGAGTACAGAACTCCCCCTACCCCCGCCACACTGTGCATGAATTTCGTGCACTGGGCCTCTAGTTATATAATAATAGATGTTATAGAAGGTAATTCAAACAATAGACTTACCAAAATGTCTGATTTTTTGCTCATATTTCTGCATAAATGATTCTGATTTATCTTCATCTTCTGTTTCTTTTCCTTTATCTTGATTAATAAAACTCTAAAAAAATTTAAGTTAAAATCAGATTTTATATTCTGATTGATCTTCTTTCTCAGATACTGAATGTCTTGCAATCTTTTCTATAGACACTATAAATAGGTGGTATAATCTTATACTGATAGTATATCATTAAATTCATGTGTTAAACTCTATTAAACAATTAAAATTTACTTATACTGGAGTTTCATTTAAAATGATGTATGACAAGTTATAAAATTACTTTAGAAATTATACAGAAAAACAAATGAATCTTTTTGTTAAACTAAATTTCCCTATTAAAGGTAGGTATAGAAAGATCCTTTACATGCATCATTTATGTTTTGCTTTATTCATTCCCATTAAGTATCTGCAACTCTAGACCAGTGATTTTCAACCTTTTTCATCTCATGGCATACATAAACTAATTACTAAAATTCTGTGACACACCAAAATATATATATTTTGCTGATCTGACAAAAAAAGTAAGATACAACTTTGATTTATTTACAAAATAAATAAATACTTTTTTTTGCTTCAAAATGACTTTTTAAAAATTTAGGTGCCCTTGCACACTCTCTCCTAGGAGCATGCCTGCGCCTTCCCACCCCTTTCTTTCTTTCTTCACAAGCATGATTTCCTAAACTCTAAGGGACATCACAAGGCTTGCAACCAGTGCAGCAATGGGCAGTGGCAATTCATCCCAGGCAAACCCCTGAACCAGTCCCCATGGCCCCCTTGTTTTTTTTTCTTCTTTTTTTTAATCCTCACTTGAGGATATTTTTCCATTTCTTTTGAGAAAGTGGAAGAGAGGGAGAAACATCGATGTGAGAGACACACATCAACTGTTGCCTTGAGCACGCACCTTGACCAGGTTTGGGGAGCAAACTGACAACCCAGGTATGTGCCCCAAGAAGCCCTCTCGGTGAGCCAAAGCAGCTCAACCTAGGCTCATTTTCCCAGCCCTTCCTTGTTTAATTGCCCCTAGCTTTAATAAACATCCACTAAAATAAAAAATAAAAATTCAGGCATCTAAACTTTTATATAAGGACTAGAGGCCCAGTGTGCAAAATTTGTGCACGGGTAGGGTCCCTAGGCCTGGCCGGCAATCAGGGCTGATCAGGGCCTTACGGCTGCCACCGGGGCCTTCCTTCCAGATGCCAGCTGGGGCCTCCCTTCATTCTGCGCTGCCCGCTGGTGGTCAGCGCACGTCATAGCAAGCGATCAAACTCCAGGTCAAACTCCCTTGGGGACAATTTACATATTAGGCATATATATATGATTTCTGGTACCAAGAGACACATTATTATGTGAGATGACCAATAAGATGCAACTCTATTATATAATCTATATATGAGACATACCAGACAGCTATAGTTGTTTTGGCTATTGTCATTTTTTTTTGACAATCTAAGGGAAAAGAGGTCAGTGCCCCTGACTAAATAGTCAGGTACTATATGTTTTAAAAATTCTTGCGGTTGAAAGTCACTGCTCTAGACTAATCTTTGGAGCTCTTGCTGGATATAAATCCCGAAATTCAAAGCATATAGAGAATAAAATATTATCTACCAGAAAGTCTTTGATAAGACACAAACCTAAAATAGACCTTTGTTGTAAACTTTTCTTAGGAGAAGCCAAACAGTTTGATTCTGAAATCAAGTACAAAATTCTATTAAAGAAGTGCTTATTTTCGATTAAATAAGTCATAAAATAGACCAAGATGAAGTTTGTATCTGGCTAGAAAAAATGGCAGAACAATTTTGCAGAACATTCTGTGGTCGCATTTAAACCTTGAGAACATCACTGCCAAAAATGAAAACTGCAAACTAGCTCTCTGGCAGTTTACAATAAAAAAGCACACAAGTTTATATATTTCAAAATGAAAGCATTTTTTCCTTATATACTCTGCTATCTAGACCAGCACTGTCCAGTAGAAATATAATCCATCACAAATATAATTTAAAGTTTTCTATTAGCCACATTAAAAAGCATAAAGAAACAGATAAATTAATAACATTAGTTTAACCCAACATATCCAGCATATAATTTCAACAGGTAAGCAATACAAAAAATTATTAATAAAATATTTTACTTCTTTTGGTACTAAATCATTGGAATCTGGTGTGTATTTTACACTTACAGCACATCTCAATTCGGACTAGCCATATTTCAAGCTCTCAATAGCACATGTGGCTAGTGGCTATAGAGTTGGACAGCGCAGATCTAGACCAGTCCTCTCAAGTCTCAAGCTCCCAGACAAAATCAATGTACGATTTTGAGCAAATGACTGGAACATAAAAATAGTCCTAATTAATGTGTGGTATAAATGTAGGCCTTGTTAGAACCTAAGTTTAAAAAAACAATTAAAAAGAGAGACAAATGAAAATTTGTGACCACTATATTAACTTTACAAAACAAAGAAATATTATTTTGACCATTCTCTCTGGAAGAAGAAAATTATTTTGAATAGTTTTAGGGTATAAATGCAAAACAGAATAAAATAACACTTTAGAAGACACACCCCTAGAACAATATATACTGACATAGCAAAACATTAAGATAAAGAATGATCCTAGCCCTGACCGGTTTGGCTCAGTGGATAGAGCATCAGCCTGCGGACTCAAGGGTCCCAGGTTCGATTCCAGTCAAGGGCATGTACCTTGGTTGCGGACACATGCCCAGTAGGGAGTGTGCAGGAGGCAGCTGATCGATGTTTCTCTCTCATCGATGTTTCTAACTCTCTATCCCTCTCCCTTCCTCTCTGTAAGAAATCAATAAAACATAAAAAAAAAGAATGATCCTATTGTGGGGGAGGAAAAATATATAAATATAAATTAGTACAAGTACAAAAAAAGTCTAGAAAGATATAACTTACTGTTACCAGTGTTATCTCTGGGAAATGGAACAGCTAGTGAAGGAAGCTTTATAATTCTATTTTACATATTTATGTGGTTTTTGTTGTTTTTTTACAAAAAGCATGTTGCTGAATTCATAATTTTTCTCAAGTAAAGAATGAAGTACTGATAGCGCTAGTGGTGTCATTTTCCTATGTGTATTACTTATTATTACAGCAGAACTAGAGCTGGTGTAGGAGAAGGATATTTAGAGTTCTTAAAAGGGTATGTTGAGGGTGAATGCCAGAACAGAAACAAATAACTATAGATTGAGAAGTCTAAAGAATAACGACAGTTAAAGGTAAATTAAATGTGAATTTAGACAAGAATGAGCAGTCTATCCCTGAAGCTTGAAAAGGTTAGTACAAACAGAAAGAATACTTTACATACTAGTTGAAAATGACTAACGTTCATTACCCATATCTACTTCAGATATAAAAATCAAAGAATAAGGCCTATATAATCCAGTAGAAATAGAAAACCACTCTTAATAAACTACTAAGTTGGCATAAGTAATATACTGGTCCTTTCACTACTAAAGCTTGTAATACCAAGTTCAGATTACTACCTAAAGTTTACTAAAAAAAGTAACAGTGGTAAACACTTTATTTAGTAAATCCAGCAACTGTACATTAGTGCTAAAAAACTAATAGCAAGCTGATAACACAGCAACATTAGAAAGCGCTTGTAAAATCTTAGCTTTACCACCTGATAGGCCCCATGCTACTTGCTTTTAAGATATTACCCTATTTAGTCTTCATACCAACCCCATAAAGTTGAGGAAACTGAGACTTAGAGATGTTAAGTGACTTGCCCAAGGTCACAACAAGCATGTGACAAAGCTAAGATTTGAGGCAGTCTGATTCCAGAGCCCACATTTATATTCAGTGTGCTATGCTGCAGCCATATATTTGTATTCAGAATTACCCACATTAGACACAATTGGGAATACAGGTTTCTGTAACAAGCACTTTTCATAAACTGTCAAAAACAAATACTGATTATAGGATTCTGTTGTTTTGCTACCAAATATGCACAAAGGTTTGTACAAACATTTTGGTTTTTTCTTCTTTGATTACGGTGCAAAAAAAGGTCATACCTTATTAAAAACATCCTTGCTAATGGTATCCACATTCCATAGACACATTCTCTCTCTTTGTACTAGAGCCTCTTCTTTCTGCCGCCATTCTTCTTCACGTTGCCTCAGTTCTGATACTGCTGTTTGTGCCTTGGCCTGTTCCTGATCCAAGGACTCAGAATTATGCAGTGCTAAGCTACCAAGTTTCTGCTGAGCTTCAGCGAGGTTCCATTTGCATGCCACAGAGCTCTTCACAAACTCTTTCTGCTTTTGGCAAGCCATTTCAATTCCATGGCTATACATCTGGATGAAAAATAATCTTTGTAAGAAATGAAGAAGGCATTGGGAATGTTTACACAGCACAGTTCAATTTTCTTTTAGTCAGGAATTTCTATACAATGTTTCTGGTGCATAGGTATCCAGAAACCTTCTGTGTGTGCAGTTACATTTTTATATTACGGGGCTTGTTTCATCAACTAGACTCTACCAGTAAGCTTCTTTGTTAATCTGTGCCCCTCCCCCCAAAACTAACAGCAACGAAAAGCCTAGCAACTAGCACAGATAAACTATAGCTGGTGTACAACAAACATTTGTTTTATAGTCTTTATCATCTGAAATAGCAGAAAGAGAACAAAAGCTTAAATCTGGTTCATCAACTTATTATTCAACATGCTGAAAACCAGACCTTTAGAATTTTGCTTTGCAAGTTATTCATTGCAAAGAACCTTTTATTTAAAAGCAATCATCTATTAGTTTCTAATTTCCTTCTATATTATCCAAATCCTTGGCAATCTGAGTTCTTATTGGCAATTTTTATTTATAACTGACTATATCAAATAGATACTCTTTATCTTAATCCTAATCAAAACAGGTAAAGTTATTAAAAAAGAAAAGCCAACTGGCCCACCCTGGTGATTCTGTTCCAGTCAGAAGCAATAGTAACTAGCTTTAATATTTACCGAACTCCTACTTGAGATGGGTGCCTTCTACTCTACAGCTGTATAAAATAAGAGTTGAAGGCACATTCTTTATGATTTCTTAGCCAAAATGTAGATCAATATCAAACTAGAAATTCAGAATAATTTTACTCCAATCTGTTCCCTTATCTACATCACTATTATATAAATAAACCCTTTCTCATTTTGAGCCATTCTCTTCTCTGCTAGACTTGGAGTGATCTCTCCAAAAACTAAATCTGGTAATTTTACTCATTCTTAGATTCTTGGGAAAAAGTGCAAACTCTGTGACATGGCATTGTCCCTCATGATTTCACTCCCTATTATCTCTCTGGACTCAGTTTCAGTTTCTCTCCAGTTTTGCTTATTCTTTCCCTCCACCCCTTCAATGTGGCAACCCCCTTCCCTCATGCCCCACCAAACTCCTACCTCCATTCCAGATTCTGGCATTACATACCTAAATTTTCTCTCATCCCTTCCCCCTCCACCCAAGTTATGCATACTTCCATAGCGGTGTTTTCACACAACATTGTGCTTATTTGTTTACCCAACTCTCAGCTTCTTTAGGAGCTAGAACAATAAATCTTAGGTGAATAAATGACTCCACTTCATGGAATAGTCTAGTGGTGGTAAAGAATTCTGAGGCAAGGAGCATGCAAGGTCCCTACTTCCTAGATGAGTCTTTCAAGGCAACTTAGATTTCTAATGGGGCAAATGTGGACATGTTGTATTCAGATGTTTTACCTTAATATTTAGCAGGTTTGGAGCCCAGGCACCACATGACTCTAACCAAGTACTTATTTTTATTTTTTTTGCTATCTTAGAATAGAATCAAGAAGTGCAGACTAGCTATGCTTAAAGGAGGAGCCAGGAAAAGAAGACAATTTAAGCTATAAAATTTATATTGTAAGAAAAGACAAAGATATACTAAGGAAGAATATATATACAAACAGATCTAGCATTTTCAAATTATGTGGGAGCAAATTCTCAAGTCATTTCTTTTCTCTCTTTTTTTTTGTTTTGAATTTTTGTAAGATTTTATTTGAGCCAAACTGACAACATATGCTGGGGATCAAGATCTCAGATGCTTAAGTCATTTCTTAAACATAGAAATCTTATCTCTAAATTCTGAAAATGATTTATGTTTAAATTCTTCTCCGCAGACTATATAGACGTTTGGGTATTTGAGCAAACTATGCAGCATGTATTGAGAAGACTAAATAAAAAGTCATATTTTATCTGTGAACATATTGAGATTTTGAAGGGACATTAAACATAAATTCAAAGAACATAAAATCAAAAAAGAAACTTGAACATTATGGTCTAACTTTATCTCTATATTCCAAACTGCTATATGTTATATGTAATGTATAATTCTGTTATAATTAATGTCATATGTGATGTATAACATTACATCCAGGATTAGACATCATATATAACATTAAGATGCCTAGATTCCCCAAATTCCATAAAATTGAACCAAAGCTATTTTTATAAAGATTATACAATGTTTATAAATTGAATTAAACATTTTATTCTTTCCGAATATTCCAATCCAAATGTAAATCCTAAAGCCAGCAAGACAAATAAACAGGTTATAACATGTGAACTAATTTAGGATTAGTAATCACTTTACAGATATTAACAGTATCCAGAGGTAGTTTCAGCCAAATAGTTTTGCATTACATCACAGGATGGGCACTGCAGTAGGTGGGAAAAAATGAGACTGTACTAGGAGTCAGAGTGGATTTTGGTTTTAATTCTGCCACTAACTAGATACATGATCTCAGGGAAATAATTTTCAATGAAAGAGATAAGGCTATTTGCTTCTAAAACCCCTTCCTGCTAAATAAGCTTATAATTCCAAGTGTATGAGCAAAGATTAATACACAAATATTTTAAAAATTAAGTTTCTCTTGCGATTCAACCACAATGCACTAAAATTCTTCTTCTACCCTCTCCATATGCCAATATGCCTTCGAAATTGACGTTGGCAGCTGCTGTTCATTCTCTTTTCCTCTGTAGCACATTCATTATGCGGTTATATAACACACTTTGTATACAAAGATGACACCAGTGACCCATCATTAGTGGGTGAGCACTGACCTACCAATTCTCACTCTGTCCTCCTAAAAAATGTCTTGCATTTTCCCAGTGACTGGCTGGCCAAAGTACAGTCTGTGTTATGAAACAGCATTTTTCTCTGTCTGAAGCCAACTCCGTGAGCTGGGCATAGGATCGATGACCCTGCACTCAGTGACAAACGACTTAAATGGCTCGTATTCGTTAACGGCTGGCACGATGAGTCTAGAGAAAAACTGTATTAATTCAGTTAAGCCCTTGGGGATTCCATTCTGCAGGAAGCCTAGAAAGCAGACACCTATAATCCGTTCGGTTGAACAGACACGTCTGCAATCCTGTAACACACGCTCAAAACACACTCAGGAGAAAAACCAGGACAAGATGATATGAGTATGTAAGCACTTTTATTAAGACAGGACCCAGAAAAATCCTAAATGGCACATCCCATGTAGCTAAGTTTCAGAGGAAGGCACGCTGGGCTGAAAACCACACGCAGCATCAGGAACCTCAGGAAGAAGTTTTAAGGACAAGGCAAACGTGAGCCTCTGCGTTTTTACTGGAGAAGGATGGGAAGCAAAACTACAAACAACCGTCGGGGGTAAAATGGTCACGCGAAGGGGAGAGATGTTAGGGCAGCCTCAAAAGCGACATTTAATTTGTTCAGATGTCACAGCAGTACGTTCGGGTCAGAAACCTTTATAAGGAAGGAGCTCGGTGAACTGCTGAAATACCACCATTCGCTGTGCCTAATGATGAACTAGGCACACATATTAGAATCTTCACCAGAATGCAATGCTCGGGTAAAACCACGCACAAGAGGACAAAAGGGTCAATGTGACCGCATGAGCCGCCCCCCATCTGGGTGCTGTCAGGAGAGGGCTTGGGGGAGGCACGCCTTCCAAGGGTGAGGAAGGATGAGCCAAGGTGAAAAGGTGCGGGCAGAGGTGGGGGTTGGACACACAGGTCTGGCCCCTCTTCCAAGCCTTCAGAGCAGTGGTTCTCAACCTTCCTAATGCCGCGACCCTTTAATACAGTTCCTCATGTTGTGGTGACCCCCAACCATAAAATTATTTTCGTTGCTACTTCATAACTGTAATGTTGCTACTGTTATGAATTGTAATGTAAATATCTGATATGCAGGACGTATTTTCATTGTTACAAATTGAACGTAATTAAAGCATAGTGATTAAGCACAAAAACAATATGTAATTATATATGTGTTTTCCGATGGTCTTAGGCGACCCCTGTGAAAGGGTCGTCCCACCCCCAAAGGGGTCACGACCCACAGGTTGAGAACCGCTGCTTTAGAAGATGCTACCATAGCGGTGCGATGGCACCGGGCGCTCGGCCCCAGCGGGTGAGGTGGCAGCGCAGACCAGGGCACCCGAGAGGGTCGCAGAGCCGGGGGCCTCCGGGAGCCCCGCCACTGCACCTCCCCTGCCGCTCGCAGAAAGGGGCCCCTTCTCACCTGGGCGCCGCCGCCCGGCAGCGGTGGGCAGCGGGGAGAACTGGGAGACACGTCCAAGTCACTCTCTTCCTCAGCCTCAGCCTCGGTCCGAGGGAGGCTCCAAGGTCCTGGAGGCGGCCATGGCTGCTCCATGCCGGGCTGCTGCCCGGACCCTACAACACACGGCCTCGGCGTGGGGGAGACCTGCTGCGCCGAGCCAGCCGCCCAGCCGGCCGGGGCCGTTACCCAGAATCCCTCTGGGGCCCGCGACGCCGACGCACGCCCCACGCTAGGCCGGGCCCCGCCACCGGCGGACGGCGGAACTCGACGGACACGATTAGGGACGTTACTTCCGGCCTGGAGGGCGGGGCCGTGGACGGTGCGTCCCGGCCCCCGTGTGTGAGGCTTGGCTCTGGGAGTCCTACTTTCTCTAAACACTCGGTTCCCTGCAGTTCTCATCGCTGCCGACTCACCCCGAGGGCGCTGCGGGCCCAGTGCCTCCTGCGCTGTAAACAGGGAGGGAGACCTGGATGCCGGGTGATGCTCAGACCAGGGAGCATCCACTTGTTTAAAATCTGCAACTCATTGCTATACATTGATATGTAAAACCAGTATTTCTGAAGCGAGGGTGTTGGGGCGGAGGGGGGGGGGGAGGGTAGAATTTTGAAAAGCTGAGCCACTTTTCCTCTCATTGTGAGTTACACGCAACAAGAGTTCTGCGAGCCTGGGCTAGGAGGAAGACGCCGAAGGGGAAGGACTGGACCCCGCACGGCTTTAAATCATTTAGACGAGTACCACTAATTGCAAACGGACAGGGAGGGCCTCCTGTATGTCTGCCTATCGCGTTTAGTCCTAAAGGTTTATTCTCTATAGACCCAGCATGCCCAAGGTTACACATATCAAGGGTAAAAACTAGGATTAGCTTAGGGAATCTGACTTTAAAACGTGCACATTTAACCATCAGGCATTGCTGTCGTCATAATTATAGAGACTCCTAAAAAGGAGACGTCATTCCCCCCCAATCTATTAGACTGGCAAACCTTTGAAATCAGTCAATACAGAGTGTGGACAAGAAATGCTCTGAGAGAAAATGTTTGTGTAACCTTTTGGGGAGGGGCAATTTGACTAAATCAGAGGATGAAGTGTTTTGATTCAGCAATTTCATTACCAGGAAATTATCCAGCAGTTATTTTTTGCATCAATATGCAATGATTTATCTACAATGATTTACTGCATTTTTTGTGTGTGTGGCAAGAAAAAAAAAGCCAAACAATCTAAGTTCCCATTTATAGAACTTTAAAAAGTTATGGTCTGTTATTACAATGGGATAATATCAGTCTTTTAAAAATAGTAAAAATATATAAAAATAAGCTCGTATAGAAATATCTCCCAAACGTGTTGAGTTAAAAAAAAAAAAGCAACTTGCGAAGTTAGTTATATGTGTGGGCATATCTATAGCTGTAGAGAAAGAGAATGATCCAATTTGTGTAAAAACTGTGTATGTACAGGTATAGAAAATTCCTGGAGGGTAAACAAGAATTGCTATTGATTACCCCTGGTGAGTAAGGCTGGAAGGGAAGTTTCTGAGAATCATCACTTTCTATTCTTAGTTTTCCTGTATTATGCTGTTTGAATATTTTCCAATGGGTATCTGTTATATCTTAATAATTAATTACAAATAAAAGTTGAAAAACTAAAACCTTTTAGTTTAGGAGTCAAAGCTGCAGGAGAAAATATGACAGCAGATAAAGTACAAAGGGTGAGGAGGCAAAAACACTTGTATCTTTCATTAAAAAGTTATTTCAAATGAAATTGAAAATATTTCTCAGAAGTTTTCAGTGATTTCCCTGTACATAACATTCACCATACATAATTATGATTCACTCCCTGGAACTAGATGCATTGCCACCCAAGCAAAACTTGGGTTCCATTTAGCAATGAAGAAAAGCTTACGGGTGTTAGCTACTCAATCACATTGTCATAACTGCTTACATTCCTGTAATACCCAGTGCCAGTCTAATTCTTGAGCATCATCTCCTAACCTCCTCTACCTCTTGCTGAGATCTCTGTTGGTATAGTCAGTGGCCTCCTTTTAGTTCCTCAAACATACCAATATCTTTCCTGACCCATGGCCCTTTACATTTGTTGTTCCCTTTTCCTGGCTATCTTTTCTATTAGTTCTTTAAAAATACATTCTAGTGGTCATGCTTTCCTTTCTAGATCTGAGATCAAATTGTCATACCCTTAGAGAAGCTGACCTGTCCACTGGGTCTAAATTAGGTTCTTATTCCCTCTCCAACCTGTACCCTTCTATGTCACCCCCTGGGTCTTCCCTTCTTAGTATTTTTCATAAGGTCCACAAGAGCATAGATTGTTTCTTGCTCACCCTTGTACCTCCATTGTCCAGAACAGTACCTAGTGCATAGTAGGTACTTAATAAATATGTGCTGAAAAGATGAGTGAGGAACTAATGAATAGAAACAAAGATAAAAAGAAAGATATAGCATTAAATAAAGATGGAAGAGGGTAAAAAGGGAATGGAAATGGGTATATTTTGGGAGGAGGAGAAAGGGTAGATATAATAACATCAGAAGTCGTCTCATTTTAGCTATTCTGACTTTGGGGCCTGAAGCCTATGCCCAGGTAAAGTGGACACTTTTTAAAAAATATTTTTTTATTGTTGTAAAGTGGACACTTTTTACAAGCCTTGGAACCAAATCATACTCTTCTACTTTCTTATATTGGATAATAAATATAATTCCTTGGAAATTGCTTTGGGTTATAATTAATCTACTACTCTCATGGACATAGAACTAGCCAGGAACTCAAAGGAACATATTAGTTTTTCCTGAATGGAAATGACTTTAAAATGGAAGGATATGGACTATGTAGTCCAGAATGCCCAAGGGCAGTCCTTGTGGAAGGGTTTATATGGTGTGGTTAAGTAACTATTGAGCCTACAAATGCGAGCGAGGCAAAGCAGAAGCTAAAGAATAACATATGAGTTTGACTCATGAACTCTAATAAAGTTTGTGAAATATATCCCATATGTGGGCCCAGATCCCAAATGACTTAAAGATTGTTAAAAGTTGTTCAATTGCAATTTAATTCCTTCCTTGGAAGCATTCCTGATACTTGGGGGAAATTCTAGAGTTGTACATATACTTAATGAAATACTACTCAAATTACTAGCTCCTGTTTTGGACGTTCATGCAGAGACCACTATTCTTATAATACAGTGCTTCTGTTTTTCCTTAAGTAGGGTTCCCTCTGAATTACTTGTAAAGTACTTCACACCACAATAATTTTCTTATCTGCATTTTGGGTGAATAAATCCATCATATTTTTCTCTTTAAGTGTATATGGACTTGTATTGAAGGGAATTTCATAGAGATGCCATCAAGAATTCTTTTGATGGGCTATTTTAGGACAGAAGGAGATCCGCATAAGGATATGATTTCTTAAGTATGTGTTAAATATTTTAAAGTTGTTATTATGAATATTTTTAAATACACAAAACTATAGAATAATAGTAAACTTCAGATTAACCCAGATGAACAATTATCAAGCTATTGCTACATTTTCTTTATCCATTCCTTTTGTTCATTTCCTAGGATATTTGAAAACAAATCTTAGACATTAGATCATTTCTACTATATACCTTAATATGTATCTCTCAACAATGTTGATATTTGTCTTATATAAACACAAGGACATTATCATACCTATTAACTAGCATTATCATACCTATTGTTATTATTTAATACCCAAACCATAATAAAATTTCCTTGATGGTCTCAAATATTCTATTTAAGTTGGTTTTTTTGAGTCAGGGTGCCAACAAAGTCCACATATTACATTTGGTTGTCAGGTCATCTTAAGTAACTTTTCATCTAAAGCATTTCCCCTTCCCTGCTTCCTTTGTTTTTCAATGTCATTGACTTATTGCAGATTAATTGGGTCAGTTGTCCTCTCCCCCGCCCACATTCTCAATATGTCTGTTTGCTTCCTTGTGTCACTAACAAGTTTCTCTATCCCCCAGATTTCCTTTAAGTGAAGTTAGCTCTAGAACAACTCCGCTCAATAGAAGTTTCTGTGATGATGGAAATAATTCTTCTTGCACTATCCAATACAATAGCCACTAGCCACACGTAGCCGTTGAACACTTTAAAATGTGACTAGTGAGCCTGGCTGGCGTGGCTCAGTGGTTGAGCATCTACTTATGAACCAGGAGGTCATGGTTTGATTCCCGGCCAGGGCACATGCCCGGTGTCCAGGTTGCAGGCTCAATCCCCAGTGTGGGGCATGCAGGAGGCAGCCAGTCAATGATTCTCTCTCATCATTGATGTTTCTGTCTTTCCCTCTCCCTTCCTCTCTGAAATCAATAAAGATATATTTTTTAAAAAGATATATTAAAAAAAAATTTATATATATATATTTGTAATCATGAGATTCCACCTTCACCTTGTCACCTTGTCAGGGAGAGTGGCCTGTGTGGGATATGTAACTCTGTGTGCCTATGCTAATCCATACACACAGTGGATGAAATCCTAGATAAAAAGTATTGTGAGGAAAGAAAAGGATCTAGAAATGTTGCTTAGGCAGGTGGAGGAGGATGAACAGAGACAGAGGAAGAATAGCCAAAGAGTTGGAGGGAAACCAGAAGAGTGCTATGTCCTAGAAGCCAAGCAAGAAGAGCCCAGTTTTATCCAGGAGAGTTCAGTGAATCAAGGAGAGTCCAGTTAAGTCTAGGAAGAACATAAGATGGGACATAGTGTCTCTAGGATGTCCATGTTACAGGGACAGTGACGTGGCAGGGTACACCTGGATTCAAGTGTGGCTGCTTCCCTTTAGCTGTGTGTCCTTGGGCAAAAGGCCATCTGATCTCATTCTACAGATTCTGCATCTATAAAATAGGGATAATAACATTTTCCTCAAAGCATTATTGTGAGGGTTACATGAATGATGCATATGTAATTTGTCTAGCACTTTCTAGGTTCTCAATAAAGATTGATTCCTCCCATTTTGTCTCTGACCACTTATTCATTTGTTTGACTCTCACTCTCCTCGATGTCTTAGCTTTGGTGTTGGTGGTGACTCACTGGTAAGGGTCAACACAGGTCCATTCCTCATATATCACTGTACTAGTCTGGGTGCCAACAAGCTGTTATGAGCTGACAAATCAGTGCTCTGGATACTGTAGGGGGCCAACCACCCACTTATGTACCTCTTGATATGTAGACAGAGCACCCAGGATTGGATAAGGACACAAAATACCCTTCTTCAACATACTCAGTTTTTCCCTTCCAGGGAAAGGAACTCCAACTACCAAACGAATACCTAATTTTTGTCTCAAGACATCTTTTTGCACTTGCATTTTGCATTTATATAAATCTCCAATACAAAATATTAATAATAAATGACTCATCACAATTAAATTTTTTAAGAGTCAGCATTGGCCCTACCAGATTTTTCCAATTTGCTAGAAGCAACCACTCCCTTCATTTTTATTTGTTAAACACAGTGAAGGGGGTGGGGGAGGGAGGAAGGGAAGGAAATGCAATTTTCCCTACTGGTTAATAACCCTTGCCCTGTCTGCCACCACTGACGGTTTTTGCAGTGTAAGCCTGGTTTTGGCAACTACAGTAACTACCCATTGGGAGATAATATAATTCATTGCTTGCATTAGGTTAACTAAACCCCCAAAAGAGAGACTGACAATTTCTATTGTGGCTAAAGCGGGAAACCTAACTTTTTAAAAACCTTTTTAAAAATTATCCTTGTAGCCCTAACCGGTTTGGCTCAGTGAATAGAGCGTCAGCCTGCGGACTCAAGGGTCCCAGGTTCGATTCTGGTCAAGGGCATGTACCTTGGTTGCGGGCACATCCCCAGTAGGGGGTGTGCAAGAGGCAGCTGATCAATGTTTCTCTCTCATCGATGTTTCTAACTCTCTATCCCTCTCCCTCTCTGTAAAAAATCAATAAAATATATATTTCAACTAAAAAAAAATTATCCTTGTATTTCTAAAAAGCACGTTGAATTTCTTATTGACAGTGTGTGCTTTGCGGACCAAACATGAGGACATAATATTTCATAAACAAGAGAGTACCTTTAGGGACAGGCTACTATGTTAACTGAAACATCTTTGTGAGAAAGACATATGGATTGGTTTTCTCCCAAACACCCCGACAGGGGCCAGGAACGAATTTGCAACCCAGATAAGTGCCCTTGACCTGGAATCTAACCGACGACATTACGGTGCACGTGCCCACGCTCACCGGCCAGGGCCCCATCCATTTTTAGACGGACACTCAACATTTGGTGTAAAGGGAACCAGGGCTCTTAGCATCTCGCCACCCGGCTACCATCTCAGTACCTGGTCGTTCTCCCGCTTCAGCGCACAGTCTGGCAAGCGGACCTTGGGACCGCGCTTCCCTAGCAGAGCATTGAAGACGTGTACGCCTGCGCCTTAGACCTCGCTGGCGTTCTAAGGTGGAAGGTTGCGCGTTTGAGTTTCCATGGCAACGCGACGCTTCCGCCTTCTGGAAGCCTTAGCTCCAGCTCCGGCTGTGTGAGACCCGTCCGGGTGGGAGGGGACCTGGGCACTGGGGAACAGATGGGGGTAGTAGGAGGAGGTGGGGGCTGGGGAAGCTGCTGGGGACATTTGCTCCAGGGATTGAACTAAACTAAGAAAGATCGGTCCTTGGCTCGACGCGAAAGGATCTTTTCATTCCGGTCCTTTCGCCCACGCAGGGAACGATGCCTCTGGAAACGATGCCTCTGGAAGTGGTGGTGGAGTTGCAGATCCGGGCGGTAAGAAAGATCAACGAACCTCCCTCTCCTTGCGCCCAGGTTCTGAAATGGTCCCTGGTCATTCTCACCACACCCTCTCATTCACTACACAGAGATCATTATCTTTTGGAACAAGCAGTACTCTGTCCCTACGATTTTCTACACTGGTCTTCCCAGACCTCCTAACCTTTACTTCAGCTCAACCTCTTCCCACTTTCCTCCCCCTTAAAGCCAACTTGTTTCTAGCTTTATCCTGAAATTTTCTGCTCTTTAAAAATAACCCTGTATTAAGTCCAAGGAGGATTTTCTTTTCTTTTGCAGGATAAAGATTTGGGAAAGATTTAAAACCCTCTTTTAAATAACCAGGTTAGAAATTTCATAAAGCCTCATTACTTCCTGATAATTTTTCACTTCTAGGAACCAATAAAATATTTAAAAGCTATTTCCCCTATTAGCTCTGGTTTGCTAAATCCAAAGGGGAAATCAATCAACTGTCTTATAATTATCCACTGAATCTTGCTTAAGTGAGATACTGTGGCAGAGTGACTCCACTGTTCCTATTTGGGCCAGTCATTCCTCTTATTTCAGTTCCCATTTTCCAATCCTTCCATCTGTAGTGACAGGCTGTCCTGCAGCTTTGCCTCCTAACTGTAGGGGCTTCTCTCCTGGCCATGATTACAAGCAAACATGCCACACAGGTTATGGCTATGGAAAATATGGTTAGTCTCTATACAATTGACAAATGCAGTTTCATTATCCACACAACTACAAAATAAAGAGCAGAATTTCCTGGATGTTCCACTTGGACAGCAAATAGAACCAGGCTGTATCAGCCGTGCAATATCAATTGCAAGCTCTCAAAATGTGTAGTAGTAAGGTGAAGGAATTCTTGAGAAGGTGAGTGATAAATCAGTCTTCCTCTTCGTCAAGGCAAAAATGAAACACTCATTTCATTCAATATTATTGGTTAATTTTATTTTCATTTTTAAAAGGCATTCCTCAGTATACAATTAATTAACAGTGAAATCAGTTTTCTACTCTACAGTACTTAGGATCCTCCAAAAACAGGGTGAATTGATCTGTGCTTTAAAGCCAGCAAACTAGGCCCCAGCAACTAAGATAGGGGATTCCAGAACTATATCTAGCCAGTAACCAGAAGGTAAGCCTAATTTTGAGCCTCTAATATTCAGGTTTGTGAACACTGTAAGAAATGTCATGCTTCCGAATATCTGGCCTGAATATTGTTACCATTAAAATAAAGGATCTCTCTAAGATTAAATGATAAAGCAAACTACTTACTGCTTCAGTTTGACTCTGCAAGTGAAGAGGTAGTCTGTGTTCAGGATGTTGTGGGAATGAAAATGATTTTATTTGAAAAAGCTACTCTTTTATCTTGAAGAGTAGCTATTCCTCTCTCAGTGTGCCTCCCACACTCAGAAAATTTGTTTCCACCCAATCATAGCCTGCTTGTCACAGCCATTCTCCAGATTCCTATGTGCACCTCTACTAGTTTATGACAGATCAAAGGTTATAATCCATTCTATTTATAAATGTCAAAATAACTTGTCGAAGGTTTTTAACTTAAAGGTTCTTAATTTTTAGGTAGAGAGGCATTTAAAGCTTACCCTTTCAGTTTTTCATGGTCAAAGAATAATGAGCAGAGTCCACTCTACATTTGGTGGTCTTTGTTCTTGTGATTTGGGGGAGGCACCATGAATAAACTGCTTTAAATGTAAAGGTCAATGTAAATTTAGGAGTTAGTTGTACCTTGTATAGCAGCAGACTCCCCTGATTAATTTCAAATGAAATACTGTTACTTAAAGTGTGCTGTGTACAGGGAAACAGAATTCCATATGAAAAAGTATTAATACACAAGGTATAGATGAAAAAGCTCACACTTTTGCATTGCAAAGAGTCACATTATTTTCCCATTTTATTAACTCAGTGGAGGAGCTTTTTTTTTTTTTTTTTTTTATTCAATAGAGATGACAGGTAGCAGGGCCCCATATCCTACCATACTGGTCCATTGACATACTAGTAGTATGTGGTTAGCTATCCGCAAACTCTCAGTTTCTCTGACCTCCTCAGTAGCTTATCTTTTCTGCATAAGGCCATTGTTCTATCCTCCCTTTTTTTCTAGAGACTATAGATATGTCCGTCTTTCAGTGTATCTTCTTCAAGTAAGTTCTTGGCTTGTTCTCTGAATGCTAAAAGATAATATTAGAGAATAGTGGGAACTAAATATAAATTTAAAGATCTTTTGAAGAGGTAAAAGAAAGTTATGTACTATAATCTCTCTTCTCACTACCAAGTCCACAAAGATGGAAGAGACAATAAACTAAAAATGCTTACCAAGAAAATCAACATTAAGAGGAAATCTCCCCAGCTGTGATAACAGATCTTCAGAGAATTAACTAGAAAAAGCTGTGTCTTAGACTCTTAAATAACTAAGAACTATGATTAGTATGCAGCTTATCTGCCTGTATATTTACAGAATGAAGATCCTTTTTTTTTCCCAAAGTTCAGTTGACAAGTGATATATTGACGTATAGGATCACTACAAAATACAATTTTTCTGATGTCAATTTTGAAAAAACAGCAACATTACAATCACGCCAGCTCGATTTCTTTGCAGTTGTCCTGGAGATACAAACAGTTGTTGAATGTATAACAGTGGGATTTTTTTTCTTTCTGTAATATGGCTGTGATCAGTAATGGCCAGCATGTGGCTTCAGCCTAGCAACCCATCAAGAGGGACACCTAAAATTCCAAAGGAAGCCTGAAATGTCCTAAGAGGGACAAGCGGTATGGCTGCTGGCTATGTCAGCATGATCGCATGTGGAAACATTTACATCTCCTTGTGCCATAACAAATAAGACGGTGTCATTGTTGGTTCCACAGTACAAAGAGGACTGGAGCATTGTGCGGTGACAGCCAGCAGTAGTCCACGATGCTATACTGCATGTAGCCCAGGAAAAAGCCAAAAGCCACGTCGGTGACATTGTGTCGCCCCAGCATGACCCTGGAGAGGCCCAAGATGAAGGCCCACAGTACCACCAGCACCCTCAGTGGAATGGCCAGCACCAGGTGGTTCAAGATGAACCGCGACACCAGGGCGGCCCTGGTGGCATGGCCCGAGGGAAAGGAGTACTTGTCCACCGAGAGGGTGACGAACATGTCCATCTGGTTGTGGGCTGGACGACGCCTGCGGACCAGCCCCTTGAGCAGGGCCACCAGCAGCAGGTCCAACAGCAGAGCGAAGAGCAGGTTCATCAGCACCTCGCGCCCGGCCCAGCTGTCGCTCCTGGACAGGCAGTAGAGGGTGCCCAGCAGCCAGGGGATGCCGTGCCCCGAGATCTCCAGCAGCTTCATAAGGGGCCGCACGCTGCCCCAGGACGAGCTCTCTCCCGCGCACACCCCCAGCTTCTTGGACAGCCACAGGTCGATGGCCAGCAGGGAGCGCAGGGCGATGCCCAGGAAGGACGGGTTCAGGTCGATGCGGTCCTCCTCGGGCAGCGGGGGCGGGGGCGCCTGCGAGGGGACGGCC